AAATTCCTTCACAAATGTGTTGATGGCTGGACATTGCATCATCCTAGAAAACTTGGAGGCCAGTGAGGGCAAAAATAAAAAGTTATAAGACTTTTAAATATGTGGATCTTAGGGTTATCTTTGGCGCCCCCTAGAACCTAAACCGTGGGGTGCAGCGTCATGATTTGAATAACTTTTAATGGCCATGGGGTGTAGATTGGCCTGAGCAAATGTGGTGCCGGTGGAACGAAAGCCTTCGGAGGAGTTAGCGAAATTCCAATGTGTGCGGATCGGCAAAAAATGCGAAATAACCCTTTAACCGTACATTTGACAGATACGCCCGCACTGACTTTTTTGTAGATCTTATTGAGATACATGTGTGTGTCAATTTTTGTGTCATTTTGACAAAGCGTACCGGCGTGACAGTCAATAGTGTGAATTTTCACCTTAGGGGGCGCTATGGAGCCATTTTGCATTTTCTTGTTTGGGCGACTTCGGAATCTCAAATTTTTCACCAGGCCCGGTCGTCCTGCCAAATTTCATGAGTTTTCGCCAGTGGGAAGTGGGCCATTTTCCAGTTCAAAGGGGAGGAAAAATAATAACTAGGACCCCGTTGGGGCACTGGCGGGCCCGAGCCGTGTCGCGTCCCCACCCCCCCCCCCCCCCCCAACGTGCTGCCTCCCCGTCCCATTTGTGTCCTCTGGCCATCGCCCTCTCTGGTAACGCCCATCACTGCAAAGACCCTTTTCCTTCATCGGCGTTTGCTGTTCTTCCTGCCAGTGCGTGTTGCTTTCACTTACACTTGCCACAGCCAGCCTCGTGAGTGCCTAGCCTATTGGATATCACTGTCACCTACACAGGACAGTCATTACCTTTCTATTAATACTTTGTGTTTTAATTTCACATTAATTTCCATATTGTATAAACGACTGGAAAAAACTTGAGCCCCTGCCCCTGTATAATCATGTGCATGTCTCTGTTCTAGCTCCAAGGTGAATCTTCACTGCTCATGTTCTCCTCAGAAGCACTCACCTCACTCCCCTCAGGTTACTGTACACATGCACCAACTGCCTGCTTCAGGTTTGGATGGAGCTTCATGGTTGTCTTTTGGAGAAATGACCAGTCAAGTTGTGTTTGAAATTTGATTTTTTTCAGGGGCAAAAGGAGCCTCTGCATTCTTGTCAAATATGTAAATAGCATGTTTTTGCAGGTGCTAAAAACCAGACTCTGAGTGTGTGTGTGTGTGTGTGTGTGTGTGTGTGTGTGTGTGTGTCTGTGTGTGCGTTCAAGTCACATGACATATTTAACCGGATGTAGCTGCAAGACGGAGCCTCGTTGACTCTCCGTTTCAACTTATCTCAAAAGTGAGGACCTCAACCTATATACCAGTTTTTAAATTGTGTTGATAGGCCAAATAAAACCAGAGTTATGATAAATTATGTCCGCAATATTTTTTTTCTGCTTATTTTGATCACGTTCGGCGCTCGATCGCGCTGTATGAGACAGGAAAACATAGCATGCAGACATTAGCGACAGTTCTTACAGGCGGAAAAGGCTTGCCAAAAGAAAAAAAAAACACACCACAACATCTCTCCTATTGGTGGAAAACTTCACCACAACAACCAATCCAAAATTATATGGTGACTGATTGACAAGGGGGGCGCTTACGTTCTTCCTGCAACATGAGAAGGGAGGGAGGGACTCTCAGCAGGGATGCAGTCTGGGACACGTAGTTGCAAACCTAGCGACTTTGTTGTTAGATTCAATGACTTTTCAGACCCCCTAACGACTTTTTTTTAGAAAGAAAGGGACTTTTATCGACTTCTTCTGGAGTTTAGAGACTCTGACATGAAGCAGGCTTTCCATACTGAGGAGTTAGCAACGCTGCTAAGGGTGCAGAGCCACACATGCGCTCAGAGCTCTGCATGGGAGACTGAAGCTGACAGAGCTGCAGCAGTTAGCAGGTTTCACCCTCAGAGACCACCACGGGTTCATGTTGAGGCATTAAAATTTTTTTTTTTTTTTGTGCCATAGACACTGTCAGCACAATCTGCAGTTACACTAACAAAAATGCTGCAAAAAACAAAGAATTATGGAAAAATTACACATGGACTGACATAGAGGAGGATCTACACAAGTTTTTTACATCATGTTTTACATCATGCATCATTTACATCATGTTTTTTTGTAGTGGCATAAATAAAAAGTGACATTTGTGAGACTATACAGTGTTTTGTAAATAATTTTACAAAGAACGCCTGGGCCATTGCCTGCATTTTGATGTAAATAGAGGTAAATTACTATGTTCTTTGTTAAAAATTTGCATATGTTTTGAAGTTTACAATTTTTATTTGAAGTTTAAGTTTTAAAAACAGTTCATCACACATATTTGTGGTTTAATTTCACATTAATTTCCATATTGTATAAATGACTGGAAAAAACTTGAGCCCCTGCCCCTGTATAATCATGTGCACGTCCCTGTTCTAGCTCCAAGGTGAATCTTCACTGCTCATGTTCTCCTCAGAAATAGTCACCTCACTCCCCTCAGGTTACTGTACACATGCACCAACTATCTGCTTCAGGTTTGAAATGGAGCTTCATGGTTGTCTTTTGGAGAAATGAACAGTCAAGTTGTGTTTGAAATTTGATTTTTTTCAGGGGCAAAAGGAAGCCTCTGCATTCTTGTCAAATATGTAAACAGCATGTTTTTGCAGGTGCTAAAAACCAGACTCTGAGTGTGGGTGTGTGTCTGTGTGTGTGTGTGTGTGTGTGTGTGTGTGTGTGTGTGTATGTTGGCGTGTGTGTATATGTGTGTGTATCCTGCAGTACTCTGTACTCCTGCAGTGGCCAAAAAGACTTTTAAGAATGTGGATTTTTGGGTCATCTTTGGCGCCCCCTAGAACTGCAGTACTCTGTACTCCTGCAGTGGCCAAAATGACTTTTAAGAATGTGGATTTTTGGGTCATCTTTGGCGCCCCCTAGAACGTAAACCGTGGGGTGCAGCGTCATGATTTTTACAACTTTGAATGGGCATGGGGTGTAGATTGCCCTGAGCAAATTTGGTATCGGTGGGACGAAAGCCTTAGGAGGAGATAGCCACATTCCAATGTGTGCGAATCGGCAAAAAATGCAAAATAGCCCTTTAACCGTACATTATACAGATACGCGCTCTTTGACTTTTTCGTAGATCTAATTGAGATACACATGATTGTCAATTTTTGTGTCAATATGACAAAGCGTTCAGGCGTGACACTCAACAATGTGTATTTTTATGTAAGGGGACAAGAAAAAATTGACTTTTTTCTCCTACCATGGGGGGGCGCTCTTTTGGGGAGTAAAAATTCCTTCACAAATGTGTTGATGGCTGGACATTGCATCATCCTAGAAAACTTGGAGGCCAGTGAGGACAAAAATAAAAAGTTATAAAACATTTAAGAATGTGGATTTTTGGGTTATTTTTGGCGCCCCCTAGAACCTAAACCATGGGGTGCAGCATCATGATTTGAATAACTTTTAATGGCCATGGGGTGTAGATTGGCCTGAGCAAATGTGGTGCCGGTGGAACGAAAGCCTTCGGAGGAGTTAGCGAAATTCCAATGTGTGCGTATCGGCAAAAAATGCGGAATAACCCTTTAACTGTACATTTGACAGATACGCGCGCATGGACTTTTTTGTAGATCTTATTGAGATACATGTGTGTGTCAATTTTTGTGTCATTTTGACAAAGCGTATAGGCTTGACACTCAACAATGTGTATTTTCACCTTAGGGGACAAGAAAAAATGGACTTTTTTCTCCTGCCATGGGGGGGCGCTCTTTTGGGGAGTAAAAATTCCTTCACAAATGTGTTGATGGCTGGACATTGCATCATCCTAGAAACCTTGGAGGCCAGTGAGGACAAAAATAAAAAGTTATAAGACTTTTAAATATGTGGATTTTAGTGTTATCTTTGGCGCCCCCTAGAACCTAAACCTTGGGGTGCAGCGTCATGATTTTGATAACTTTTAATGGCCACGGGGTGTAGATTGGCCTGAGCAAATGTGGTGCCGGTGGAACGAAAGCCTTCGGAGGAGTTAGCGAAATTCCAATGTGTGCGGATCGGCAAAAAATGCGAAATAACCCTTTAACCGTAATTTTGACAGATACGGCCGCACTGACTTTTTTGTAGATCTTATTGAGATACATATGTGTGTCAATTTTTGTGTCAATATGACAAAGCGTACAGGCGTGACAGTCAATAGTGTGAATTTCCACCTTAGGGGGCGCTATGGAGCCATTTTGCATTTTATTGTTTGGGCGACTTCAGAATATCGAATTTTTCACCAGGCCCGGTCGTCCTGCCAAATTTCATGAGTTTTTGCCAGTGGGAAGTGGGCCATTTTCCAGTTCAAAGGGGAGGAAAAAGAAGAAAGAAAGAAACAAAGAAAAACCCCTACAGGAATAACAGGGCCTACGCCCGGCTGCTCTGCAGCTGGCTCGGGCCCTAATAATAATAACAAACTAGGGCCCCGTTGGGGCACTGGCGGGCCCGAGCCGCGTTGCGCCGCCCCCAGTGCGACCGCCTCCCCCTCCCGATCGCGTCACACTCAAGGTCCAAAGATGGTGTGCGCACTTGTCTGTGGTCATTTCCCATTATAATGAATGGGAGGCGCAGTTTCTACCAAAACACTCGCTGCAGACAAACTACATGTCCTATTTGAAAAAAGTCTGGACCATGAGTGAGGGCACAAACACAGCTAGGATATATCCAAACGGCAAGTTGCTCCTCGTTACGGTGTTGCCGGGAGAGCGATGCGATTGAGCCATTGAGTGATGGGCAGGAAAAACTTGACTGTTTCTCCTGCCATGGGGGATGGGGGATGGGGGATGGGGGGGGGGGGGGGGATGTGGATTCTTTTAAGAATGTGGATATTTGGGTCATCTTTGGCGCCCCCTAGAACGTAAACCGTGGGGTGCAGCATCATGATTTTTAAAACTTTGAATGGCCATGGGGTGTAGATTGGCCTGAGCAAATTTGGTGTCATTGGGACGAAAGCCTTAGGAGGAGTTAGCCACATTCCAATGTGTGCTAATCGGCAAAAAATGCAAAATAGCCCTTTAACCGTACATTTTACAGATACGCGCGCATTGACTTTTTCGTAGATCTTATTGAGATACATGTGTGTGTCAAATTTTGTGTCAATATGACAAAGCATACAGGTATGACAGTCAACAATGTGTATTTTCACCTTATGGGACAAGAAAAAATGGACTTTTTTCTCCTGCCATGGGGGGGCGCTCTTTTGGCGAGTAAAAATTCCTTCACAAATGTGTTGATGGCTGGACATTGCATCATCCTAGAAAACTTGGAGGCCAGAGAGGACAAAAATAAAAAGTTATAAGACTTTTAAATATGTGGATTTTAGGGTTATCTTTGGCGCCCCCTAGAACCTAAACCGTGGGGTGCAGCGTCATGATTTGAATAACTTTTAATGGCCATGGGGTGTAGATTGGCCTGAGCAAATGTGGTGCCGGTGGAACGAAAGCCTTCGGAGGAGTAAGCGAAATTCCAATGTGTGCGGATCGGCAAAAAATGCGCAATAACCCTTTAACCGTACATTTGACAGATACGCTAGCACTGACTTTTTTGTAGATCTTATTGAGATACATGTGTGTGTCAATTTTTGTGTAATTTTGACAAAGCGTACAGGCGTGACAGTCAATAGTGTAATTTTTCACCTTATGGGACAAGAAAAAATGGACTTTTTTCTCCTGCCATGGGGGGGCGCTCTTTTGGGGAGTAAAAATTCCTTCACAAATGTGTTGATGGCTGGACATTGCATCATCCTAGAAAACTTGGAGGCCAGTGAGGGCAAAAATAAAAAGTTATAAGACTTTGAAATTTGTGGATTTTAGGGTTATCTTTGGCGCCCCCTAGAACCTAAACCGTGGGGTGCAGCGTCATGATTTGAATAACTTTTAATGGCCATGGGGTGTAGATTGGCCTGAGCAAATGTGGTGCCGGTGGAACGAAAGCCTTCGGAGGAGTTAGCGAAATTCCAATGTGTGCGGATCGGCAAAAAATGCGCAATAACCCTTTAACCGTACATTTGACAGATACGCCCGCACTGACTTTTTTGTAGATCTTATTGAGATACATGTGTGTGTCAATTTTTGTGTCATTTTGACAAAGCGTACAGGCGTCAGGTGAATTTTTCACCTTAGGGGGCGCTATGGAGCCATTTTGCATTTTCTTGTTTGGGCGACTTCGGAATATCAAATTTTTCACCAGGCCCGGTCGTCCTGCCAAATTTCATGAGTTTTCGCCAGTGGGAAGTGGGCCATTTTCCAGTTCAAAGGGGAGGAAAAATAATAACTAGGGCCCCGTTGGGGCACTGGCGGGCCCGAGCCGTGTCACGCCGCCCCCAGCGCGACCGCCTCCCCCACCCGATCGCGTCACACTCAAGGTCCAAAGATGGTGTGCGCACTTGTTTGTGGTCATTTACCATTATAATGAACGGGAGGCGCAGTTTCTACCAAAGCGCTCGCTGCAGAAAAACTCCATGTCCTATTTGAAAAAAGTCTGGACCATGAGTGAGGGCACAAACACAGCTAAGATATATATCCAAATGGCAAGTTGTTCCTCCTTTCGCTTTTGCCGAGAGAGCAGTGCGTTTGAGCCATTGAATGATGAACAGGAAAAACTTGACTTTATTCTCCTGCCATGGGGGGGCGCTCTTTTAACGAGAAAAAACTCCTTCACAAATGTGTTGATGGCTGGACATTGCATCATCCTAGAAAACATGGAGGCCAGTGAGGACAAAAATAAAAAGTTATAAGACTTTTAAATATGTGGATTTTAGGGTTATCTTTGGCGCCCCCTAGAACCTAAACCGTGGGGTGCAGCGTCATGATTTGAATAACTTTTAATGGCCATGGGGTGTAGATTGGCCTGAGCAAATGTGGTGCCGGTGGAACGAAAGCCTTCGGAGGAGTTAGCGAAATTCCAATGTGTGCGAATCTGCAAAAAATGCAAAATAACCCTTTAACCGTACATTTTACAGATACGTGGCCATTGACTTTTTCGAAGATCTTATTGAAATACACGTGTATGTAAAATTTTGTGTCAATACGACAAAACATACAGGCGTAGCACTCAACAATGTGTATTTTCACCTTAGTGGACAAGAAAAAATGGACTTTTTTCTCCTGCCATGGGGGGGCGCTCTTTTAACGAGAAAAAACTCCTTCACAAATGTGTTGATGGCTGGACATTGCATCATCCTAGAAAACTTGGAGGCCAGTGGGGACAAAAATAAAAAGTTATAAGACTTTTAAATATGTGGATTTTACGGTTATCTTTGGCGCCCCCTAGAACCTAAACCGTGGGGTGCAGCGTCATGATTTGAATAACTTTTAATGGCCATGGGGTGTAGATTGGCCTGAGCAAATGTGGTGCCGGTGGAACGAAAGCCTTCGGAGGAGTTAGCGAAATTCCAATGTGTGCGGATCGGCAAAAAATGCGGAATAACCCTTTAACCGTACATTTAACAGATACGCGCCCATTGACTTTTTCGTAGATCTTATTGAGATACATGTGTGTGTCAATTTTTGTGTCATTTTGCCAAAGCGTACAGGTGTTACACTCAACAATGTGTATTTTCACCTTAGGGGACAAGAAAAAATGGACTTTTTTCTCCTGCCATGGGGGGGCGCTCTTTTGGGGAGTAAAAATTCCTTCACAAATGTGTTGATGCCTGGACATTGCATCATCCTAGAAAACTTGGAGGCCAGTGAGGGCAAAAATAAAAAGTTATAAGACTTTTAAATATGTGGATCTTAGGGTTATCTTTGGCGCCCCCTAGAACCTAAACCGTGGGGTGCAGCGTCATGATTTGAATAACTTTTAATGGCCATGGGGTGTAGATTGGCCTGAGCAAATGTGGTGCCGGTGGAACGAAAGCCTTCGGAGGAGTTAGCGAAATTCCAATGTGTGCGGATCGGCAAAAAATGCGAAATAACCCTTTAACCGTACATTTGACAGATACACCCGCACTGACTTTTTTGTAGATCTTATTGAGATACATGTGTGTGTCAATTTTTGTGTCATTTTGACAAAGCGTACAGGCGTGACAGTCAATAGTGTGAATTTTCACCTTAGGGGGCGCTATGGAGCCATTTTGCATTTTCTTGTTTGGGCGACTTCGGAATATCAAATTTTTCACCAGGCCCGGTCGTCCTGCCAAATTTCATGAGTTTTCGCCAGTGGGAAGTGGGCCATTTTCCAGTTCAAAGGGGAGGAAAAATAATAATAATAACAAAAGAAGGAAACATACAGGAACAAGAGGGCTCTCGCAGCTGCTTAGCAGCTACGCTCGGGCCCTAACTAGGACCCCGTTGGGGCACTGGCGGGCCCGAGCCGTGTCGTGTCTCCCCCCCCCCCCAATGTGCTGCCTCCCCGTCCCATTTGTGTCCTCTGGCCATCGCCCTCTCTGTTAACGCCCATCACTGCAAAGACCCTTTTCCTTCATCGGCGTTTGCTGTTCTTCCTGCCAGTGCGTGTTGCTTTCACTTACACTTGCCACAGCCAGCCTCGTGAGTGCCTAGCCTATTGGATATCACTGTCACCTACACAGGACAGTCATTACCTTTCTCTTAATACTTTGTGTTTTAATTTCACATTAATTTCCATATTGTATAAACGACTGGAAAAAACTTGAGCCCCTGCCCCTGTATAATCATGTGCATGTCTCTGTTCTAGCTCCAAGGTGAATCTTCACTGCTCATGTTCTCCTCAGAAGCACTCACCTCACTCCCCTCAGGCTACTGTACACATGCACCAACTGCCTGCTTCAGGTTTGGATGGAGCTTCATGGTTGTCTTTTGGAGAAATGACCAGTCAAGTTGTGTTTGAAATTTGATTTTTTTCAGGGGCAAAAGGAGCCTCTGCATTCTTGTCAAATATGTAAATAGCATGTTTTTGCAGGTGCTAAAAACCAGACTCTGAGTGTGTGTGTGTGTGTGTGTGTGTGTGTGTGTCTATGTGTGCGTTCAAATCACATGACATATTTAACCGGATGTAGCTGCAAGACGGAGCCTCGTTGACTCTCCGTTTCAACTTATCTCAAAAGTGAGGACCTCAACCTATATACCAGTTTTTAAATTGTGTTGATAGGCCAAATAAAACCAGAGTTATGATAAATTATGTCCGCGATACTTTTTTTCTGCTTATTTTGATCACGTTCGGCGCTCGATCGCGCTGTATGAGACAGGAAAACATAGCATGCAGACATTAGCGACAGGTCTTACAGGCGGAAAAGGCTTGCCAAAAGAAAAAAAAAACACACCACAACATCTCTCCTATTGGTGGAAAACTTCACCACAACAACCAATCCAAAATTATATGGTGACGGATTGACAAGGGGCGGGCGCTTACGTTCTTCCTGCAACATGAGAAGGGAGGGAGGGACTCTCAGCAGGGATGCAGTCTGGGACACGTAGTTGCAAACCTAGCGACTTTGTTGTTAGATTCAATGACTTTTCAGACCCCCTAACGACTTTTTTTTAGAAAGAAAGGGACTTTTATCGACTTCTTCTGGAGTTTAGAGACTCTGACATGAAGCAGGCTTTCCTTACTGAGGAGTTAGCAACACTGCTAAGGGTGCAGAGCCACACATGCGCTCCGAGCTCTGCATGGGAGACTGAAGCTGACAGAGCTGCAGCAGTTAGCAGGTTTCACCCTCAGAGACCACCAGGGGTTCATGTTGAGGCATTTTCAGTTTTTTTTTTTTTTTGCCATAGACACTGTCAGCACAATCTGCAGTTACACTAACAAAAATGCTGCAAAAAACAAAGAATTATGGAAAAATTACACATGGACTGACATAGAGGAGGATCTACACAAGTTTTTTACATCATGTTTTACATCATGCATCATTTACATCATGTTTTTTTGTAGTGGCATAAATAAAAAGTGACATTTGTGAGACTATACAGTGTTTTGTAAATAATTTTACAAAGAACACCTGGGCCATTGCCTGCATTTTGATGTCAATAGAGGTAAATTACTATGTTCTTTGTTAAAAATTTGCATATGTTTTGAAGTTTACAATTTTTATTTGAAGTTTAAGTTTTAAAAACAGTTCATCACACATATTTGTGGTTTTCACAGTAAAAACGTTACTTTTTTCCACTCGGATTTTATGTTTTGTGTGTGAATTTGGGTCCAATGTGTAAATATAGTATGTCAAAATGATAAAATAACTGTAAATTGACACAGGTGAGGTTGTGCTGAAAAAAATGATACCAGGCAAGGCAAGGTAAAAATTTTGTAAGAGGAAATATAAAGGTAAAATCTAAAGTAGTCAAAAACGGCCAATAGTGACTCACAGACTCCACAGACAAGTCCCTTTGGCGCCACTCAGTGGGCAAAACTACTTTGTCTACTGTAATGTATATTTGGGTCATCTTTGGCGCCCCCTAAAACGTAAACCGTGGGGTGCAGCGTCATGATTTTTACAACTTTGAATGGCCATGGAGTGTAGATTGGCCTGAGCAAATTTGGTGTCAGTGGGACGAAGGCCTTAGGAGGAGTTAGCGAAATTCCAATGTGTGCGAATTGGCAAAAAATGCAAAATAGCCCTTTTACCGTACATTATACAGATACGCGCTCTTTGACTTTTTCGTAGATCTAATTGAGATACACATGATTGTCAATTTTTGTGTCATTTTGCCAAAGCGTACAGGCGTGACAGTCAACAATGTGTATTTTCACCTTAGGGGACAAGAAAAAATGGACTTTTTTCTCCTGCCATGGGGGGCGCTCTTTTAGGGAGTAAAAATTCCTTCACAAATGTGTTGATGGCTGGACATTGCATCATCCTAGAAAACTTGGAGGCCAGTGAGGACAAAAATAAAAAGTTAAAAGACTTTTAAAAATGTGGATTTTTGGGTTATCTTTGGCGCCCCCTAGAACGTAAACCGTGGGGTGCAGCGTCATGATTTGAATAACTTTTAATGGCCATGGGGTGTAATTTGGCCTGAGCAAATGTGGTGCCGGTGGAACGAAAGCCTTCGGAGGAGTTAGCGAAATTCCAATGTGTGCGAATCGGCAAAAAATGCGGAATAACCCTTTAACCGTACATTAGACAGATACGCCCGCACTGACTTTTTTGTAGATCTTATTGAGATACATGTGTGTGTCAATTTTTGTGTCATTTTGACAAAGCGTACAGGCGTGACACTCAACAATGTGTATTTTCACCTTAGGGGACAAGAAAAAATGGACTTTTTTCTCCTGCCATGGGGGGCGCTCTTTTGGGGAGTAAAAATTCCTTCACAAATGTGTTGATGGCTGGACATTGCATCATCCTAGAAAACTTGGAGGCCAGTGAGGGCAAAAATAAAAAGTTATAAGACTTTTAAAAATGTGGATTTTAGGGTTATCTTTGGCGCCCCCTAGAACCTAAACCGTGGGGTGCAGCGTCATCATTTGAATAACTTTTAATGGCCATGGGGTGTAGATTGGCCTGAGCAAATGTGGTGCCGGTGGAACGAAAGCCTTCGGAGGAGTTAGCGAAATTCCAATGTGTGCGGATCGGCAAAAAATGCGCAATAACCCTTTAACCGTACATTTGACAGATACGCCCGCACTGACTTTTTTGTAGATCTTATTGAGATACATGTGTGTGTCAATTTTTGTGTCATTTTGACAAAGCGTACAGGCGTGACAGTCAATAGTGTGAATTTTCACCTTAGGGGGCGCTATGGAGCCATTTTGCATTTTCTTGTTTGGGCGACTTCGGAATATCAAATTTTTCACCAGGCCAGGTCGTCCTGCCAAATTTCATGAGTTTTCGCCAGTGGGAAGTGGGCCATTTTCCAGTTCAAAGGGGAGGAAAAAGAAACTAGGGCCCCGGTGGGGCACTGGCGGGCCCGAGCCGCGTTGCGCCGCCCCCAGTGCGACCGCCTCCCCCTCCCGATCGCGTCACACTCAAGGTCCAAAGATGGTGTGCGCACTTGTCTGTGGTCATTTCCCATTATAATGAATGGGAGGCGCAGTTTCTACCAAAACACTCGCTGCAGACAAACTCCATGTCCTATTTGAAAAAAGTCTGGACCATGAGTGAGGGCACAAACACAGCTAGGATATATCCAAACGGCAAGTTGCTCCTCGTTACGGTGTTGCCGGGAGAGCGATGCGATTGAGCCATTGAGTGATGGGCAGGAAAAACTTGACTGTTTCTCCTGCCATGGGGGATGGGGGATGGGAGGGGGGGAAGGGATGTGGATTCTTTTAAGAATGTGGATATTTGGGTCATCTTTGGCGCCCCCTAGAACGTAAACCGTGGGGTGCAGCGTCATGATTTTTAAAACTTTGAATGGCCATGGGGTGTAGATTGGCCTGAGCAAATTTGGTGTCAGTGGGACGAAAGCCTTAGGAGGAGTTAGCCACATTCCAATGTGTGCTAATCGGCAAAAAATGCAAAATAGCCCTTTAACCGTACATTTTACAGATACGCGCGCATTGACTTTTTCGTAGATCTTATTGAGATACATGTGTGTGTCAAATTTTGTGTCAATATGACAAAGCATACAGGTATGACAGTCAACAATGTGTATTTTCACCTTATGGGACAATAAAAAATGGACTTTTTTCTCCTGCCATGGGGGGGCGCTCTTTTAGGGAGTAAAAATTCCTTCACAAATGTGTTGATGGCTGGACATTGCATCATCCTAGAAAACTTGGAGGCCAGAGAGGACAAAAATAAAAAGTTATAAGACTTTTAAATATGTGGATTTTAGGGTTATCTTTGGCGCCCCCTAGAACCTAAACCGTGGGGTGCAGCGTCATGATTTGAATAACTTTTAATGGCCATGGGGTGTAATTTGGCCTGAGCAAATGTGGTGCCGGTTGAACGAAAGCCTTCGGAGGAGTTAGCGAAATTCCAATGTGTGCGGATCGGCAAAAAATGCGCAATAACCCTTTAACCGTACATTTGACAGATACGCCCGCACTGACTTTTTTGTAGATCTTATTGAGATACATGTGTGTGTCAATTTTTGTGTAATTTTGACAAAGCGTACAGGCGTGACAGTCAATAGTGTGAATTTTCACCTTAGGGGACAAGAAAAAATGGACTTTTTTCTCCTGCCATGGGGGGGCGCTCTTTTGGGGAGTAAAAATTCCTTCACAAATGTGTTGATGGCTGGACATTGCATCATCCTAGAAAACTTGGAGGCCAGTGAGGACAAAAATAAAAAGTTATAAGACTTTTAAATATGTGGATTTTAGGGTTATCTTTGGCGCCCCCTAGAACGTAAACCGTGGGGTGCAGCGTCATGATTTTTAAAACTTTGAATGGCCATGGGGTGTAGATTGGCCTGAGCAAATTTGGTGTCAGTGGGACGAAAGCCTTAGGAGGAGTTAGCCACATTCCAATGTGTGCTAATCGGCAAAAAATGCAAAATAGCCCTTTAACCGTACATTTTACAGATACGCGCGCATTGACTTTTTCGTAGATCTTATTGAGATACATGTGTGTGTCAAATTTTGTGTCAATATGACAAAGCATACAGGTATGACAGTCAACAATGTGTATTTTCACCTTATGGGACAATAAAAAATGGACTTTTTTCTCCTGCCATGGGGGGGCGCTCTTTTAGGGAGTAAAAATTCCTTCACAAATGTGTTGATGGCTGGACATTGCATCATCCTAGAAAACTTGGAGGCCAGAGAGGACAAAAATAAAAAGTTATAAGACTTTTAAATATGTGGATTTTAGGGTTATCTTTGGCGCCCCCTAGAACCTAAACCGTGGGGTGCAGCGTCATGATTTGAATAACTTTTAATGGCCATGGGGTGTAGATTGGCCTGAGCAAATGTGGTGCCGGTTGAACGAAAGCCTTCGGAGGAGTTAGCGAAATTCCAATGTGTGCGGATCGGCAAAAAATGCGCAATAACCCTTTAACCGTACATTTGACAGATACGCCCGCACTGACTTTTTTGTAGATCTTATTGAGATACATGTGTGTGTCAATTTTTGTGTAATTTTGACAAAGCGTACAGGCGTGACAGTCAATAGTGTGAATTTTCACCTTATGGAACAAGAAAAAATGGACTTTTTTCTCCTGCCATGGGGGGGCGCTCTTTTGGGGAGTAAAAATTCCTTCACAAATGTGTTGATGGCTGGACATTGCATCATCCTAGAAAACTTGGAGGCCAGTGAGGGCAAAAATAAAAAGTTATAAGACTTTGAAATATGTGGATTTTAGGGTTATCTTTGGCGCCCCCTAGAACATAAACCGTGGGGTGCAGCGTCATGATTTGAATAACTTTTAATGGCCATGGGGTGTAGATTGGCCTGAGCAAATGTGGTGCCGGTGGAACGAAAGCCTTCGGAGGAGTTAGCGAAATTCCAATGTGTGCGGATCGGCAAAAAATGCGAAATAACCCTTTAACCGTACATTTGACAGATACGCCCGCACTGACTTTTTTATAGATCTTATTGAGATACATGTGTGTTTCAATTTTTGTGTCATTTTGACAAAGCGTACAGGCGTCAGGTGAATTTTTCACCTTAGGGGGCGCTATGGAGCCATTTTGCATTGTATTGTTTGGGCGACTTCAGAATATCAAATTTTTCACCAGGCCCGGTCGTCCTGCCAAATTTCATGAGTTTTCGCCAGTGGGAAGTGGGCCATTTTCCAGTTCAAAGGGGAGGAAAAATAATAACTAGGGCCCCGTTGGGGCACTGTCGGGCCCGAGCCGCGTTGCGCCGCCCCCAGCGCGACCGCCTCCCCCTCCCGATCGCGTCACACTCAAGGTCCAAAGATGGTGTGCGCACTTGTCTGTGGTCATTTCCCATTATAATGAATGGGAGGCGCAGTTTCTACCAAAACACTCGCTGCAGACAAACTACATGTCCTATTTGAAAAAAGTCTGATCCATGAGTGAGGGCACAAACACAGCTAGGATATATCCAAATGGCAAGTTGCTCCTCCTTTCGGAGGAGTTTGAACACATGACATGTGTTTGAGCCATTGAGCGATGGGCAGGAAAAACTTGACTTTTTCTCCTGCCATGGGGGGGGGGCGCTCTTTTGGGGAGTAAAAATTCCTTCACAAATGTGTTGATGGCTAGACATTGCATCAGCCTAGAAAACTTGGAAGCCAGTGAGGACAAAAATGAAAAGTTATAAGACTTTTAAGAATGTGGATTTTTGGGTTATCTTTGGCGCCCCCTAGAACGTAAACCGTGGGGTGCAGCGTCATGATTTGTACAACTTTTAATGGCCATGGGGTGTAGATTGGCCTGAGCAAATGTGGTGCCGGTGGAACGAAAGCTTTAGGAGGAGTTAGCCACATTCCAATGTGTGCGAATCGATCAAAAATGCGTAATAGCCCTTTAACCGTACATTTTACAGATACGTGCGCATTGACTTTTTCGTAGATCTTATTGAGATACACGTGATTGTCAAATTTTGTTTCAATATGACAAAGCGTACAGGCGTGACACTCAACAATGTGTATTTTCACCTTATGGGACAAGAAAAAATGGACTTTTTTCTCCTGCCATGGGGGGGCGCTCTTTTGGGGAGTAAAAATTCCTTCACAAATGTGTTGATGGCTGGACATTGCATCATCCTAGAAAACTTGGAGGCCAGTGAGGACAAAAATAAAAAGTTATAAGACTTTTAAGACTGTGGATTTTTGGGTTATTTTTGGCGCCCCCTAGAACGTAAACCGTGGGGTGCAGCGTCATGATTTGTACAACTTTTAATGGCCATGGGGTGTAGATTGGCCTGAGCAAATGTGGTGCCGGTGGAACGAAAGCTTTAGGAGGAGTTAGCCACATTCCAATGTGTGCGAATCAATCAAAAATGCGTAATAGCCCTTTAACCGTACATTTTACAGATACGTGCGCATTGACTTTTTCGTAGATCTTATTGAGATACACGTGATTGTCAAATTTTGTTTCAATATGACAAAGCGTACAGGCGTGACACTCAACAATGTGTATTTTCACCTTATGGGACAAGAAAAAATGGACTTTTTTCTCCTGCCATGGGGGGGCGCTCTTTTGGGGAGTAAAAATTCCTTCACAAATGTGTTGATGGCTGGACATTGCATCATCCTAGAAAACCTGGAGGCCAGTGAGGACAAAAATAAAAAGTTATAAGACTTTTAAGACTGTGGATTTTTGGGTTATTTTTGGCGCCCCCTAGAACGTAAACCGTGGGGTGCAGCGTCATGATTTGTACAACTTTTAATGGCCATGGGGTGTAGATTGGCCTGAGCAAATTTGGTGCCGGTGGAACGAAAGCCTTCGGAGGAGTTAGCGAAATTCCAATGTGTGCGGTTCCGCAAAAAATGCAAAATAGCCCTTTAACCGTATATTTGACAGATACGTGCGCATTGACTTTTTCGTAGATCTTATTGAGATACACGTGATTGTCAAATTTTGTTTCAATATGACAAAGCGTACAGGCGTGACACTCAACAATGTGTATTTTCACCTTATGGGACAAGAAAAAATGGACTTTTTTCTCCTGCCATGGGGGGGCGCTCTTTTGGGGAGTAAAAATTCCTTCACAAATGTGTTGATGGCTGGACATTGCATCATCCTAGAAAACCTGGAGGCCAGTGAGGACAAAAATAAAAAGTTATAAGACTTTTAAGACTGTGGATTTTTGGGTTATTTTTGGCGCCCCCTAGAACGTAAACCGTGGGGTGCAGCGTCATGATTTGTACAACTTTTAATGGCCATGGGGTGTAGATTGGCCTGAGCAAATTTGGTGCCGGTGGAACGAAAGCCTTCGGAGGAGTTAGCGAAATTCCAATGTGTGCGGTTCCGCAAAAAATGCAAAATAGCCCTTTAACCGTACATTTGACAGATACGTGCGCATAGACTTTTTTGTAGATCTTATTGAGATACACGTGTGTGTCAAATTTTATTTCAATATGACAAAGCGTATAGGCGTGACACTCAACAATATGTATTTTCACCTTAGGGGACAAGAAAAAATGGACTTTTTTCTCCTGCCATGGGGGGGCGCTCTTTTGGGGAGTAAAAATTCCTTCACAAATGTGTTGATGGCTGGTCATTGCATCATCCTAGAAAACTTGGAGGCCAGTGAGGGCAAAAATAAAAAGTTATTAGACTTTTAAGAATGTGGATTTTTGGGTTATCTTTGGCGCCCCCTAGAACGTAAACCGTGGGGTGCAGCGTCATGATTTGTACAACTTTTAATGGCCATGGGGTGTAGATTGGCCTGAGCAAATTTGGTGCCGGTGGAATGAAAGCCTTCGGAGGAGTTAGCGAAATTCCAATGTGTGCGGTTCCGCAAAAAATGCAAAATAGCCCTTTAACCGTACATTTGACAGATACGTGCGCATAGACTTTTTTGTAGATCTTATTGAGATACACGTGTGTGTCAAATTTTGTGTCATTTTGACAAAGCGTACAGGTGTGACACTCAATCATGTGAATTTTTCACCTAAGGGGGCGCTATGGAGCCATTTTGCATTTGATTGTTTGGGCGACTTCAGAATATCGAATTTTTCACCAGGCCCGGTCGTCCTGCCAAATTTCATGAGTTTTCACCAGTGGGAAGTGGGCCATTTTCTAGTTCAAAGGGGCAGAAAAATAACAAGAAGACTAGGGCCCCGTTGGGGCACTGGCGGGCCCGAGCCGTGTCACGCCGCCCCCAGCACGACCGCCTCCCCCACCCGATCGCGTCACACTCAAGGTCCAAAGATGGTGTGCGCACTTGTTTGTGGTCATTTACCATTATAATGAACGGGAGGCGCAGTTTCTACCAAAACGCTCGCTGCAGAAAAACTCCATGTCCTATTTGAAAAAAGTCTGGACCATGAGTGAGGGCACAAACACAGCTAAGATATATCCAAATGGCAAGTTGCTCCTCCTTTCGCTTTTGCCGAGAGAGCAGTGCGTTTGAGCCATTGAATGATGAACAGGAAAAACTTGACTTTATTCTCCTGCCATGGGGGGCGCTCTTTTAACGAGAAAAAACTCCTTCACAAATGTGTTGATGGCTGGACATTGCATCATCCTAGAAAACATGGAGGCCAGTGAGGACAAAAATAAAAAGTTATAAGACTTTTAAATATGTGGATTTTAGGGTTATCTTTGGCGCCCCCTAGAACCTAAACCGTGGGGTGCAGCGTCATGATTTGAATAACTTTTAATGGCCATGGGGTGTAGATTGGCCTGAGCAAATGTGGTGCCGGTGGAACGAAAGCCTTCGGAGGAGTTAGCGAAATTCCAATGTGTGCGAATCTGCAAAAAATGCGAAATAACCCTTTAACCGTACATTTTACAGATACGTGGCCATTGACTTTTTCGAAGATCTTATTGAAAGACACGTGTATGTAAAATTTTGTGTCAATACGACAAAACATACAGGCGTAGCACTCAACAATGTGTATTTTCACCTTAGTGGACAAGAAAAAATGGACTTTTTTCTCCTGCCATGGGGGGCGCTCTTTTGGCGAGTAAAAATTCCTTCACAAATGTGTTGATGGCTGGACATTGCATCATCCTAGAAAACTTGGAGGCCAGTGGGGACAAAAATAAAAAGTTATAAGACTTTTAAATATGTGGATTTTACGGTTATCTTTGGCGCCCCCTAGAACCTAAACCGTGGGGTGCAGCGTCATGATTTGAATAACTTTTAATGGCCATGGGGTGTAGATTGGCCTGAGAAAATGTGGTGCCGGTGGAACGAAAGCCTTCGGAGGAGTTAGCGAAATTCCAATGTGTGCGGATCGGCAAAAAATGCGGAATAACCCTTTAACCGTACATTTGACAGATACGTGCGCATTGACTTTTTTGTAGATCTTATTGAGATACATGTGTGTCTCAATTTTGGTGTCATTTTGCCAAAGCGTACAGGTGTTACACTCAACAATGTGTATTTTCACCTTAGGGGACAAGAAAAAATGGACTTTTTTCTCCTGCCATGGGGGGGCGCTCTTTTGGGGAGTAAAAATTCCTTCACAAATGTGTTGATGGCTGGACATTGCATCATCCTAGAAAACTTGGAGGCCAGTGAGGGCAAAAATAAAAAGTTATAAGACTTTTAAATATGTGGATCTTAGGGTTATCTTTGGCGCCCCCTAGAACCTAAACCGTGGGGTGCAGCGTCATGATTTGAATAACTTTTAATGGCCATGGGGTGTAGATTGGCCTGAGCAAATGTGGTGCCGGTGGAACGAAAGCCTTCGGAGGAGTTAGCGAAATTCCAATGTGTGCGGATCGGCAAAAAATGCGAAATAACCCTTTAACCGTACATTTGACAGATACGCCCGCACTGACTTTTTTGTAGATCTTATTGAGATACATGTGTGTGTCAATTTTTGTGTCATTTTGACAAAGCGTACAGGCGTGACAGTCAATAGTGTGAATTTTCACCTTAGGGGGCGCTATGGAGCCATTTTGCATTTTCTTGTTTGGGCGACTTCGGAATATCAAATTTTTCACCAGGCCCGGTCGTCCTGCCAAATTTCATGAGTTTTCGCCAGTGGGAAGTGGGCCATTTTCCAGTTCAAAGGGGAGGAAAAATAATAACTAGGGCCCCGTTGGGGCACTGGCGGGCCCGAGCCGTGTCACGCCGCCCCCAGCGCGACCGCCTCCCTCACCCGATCGCGTCACACTCAAGGTCCAAAGATGGTGTGCGCACTTGTTTGTGGTCATTTACCATTATAATGAACGGGAGGCGCAGTTTCTACCAAAACGCTCGCTGCAGAAAAACTCCATGTCCTATTTGAAAAAAGTCTGGACCATGAGTGAGGGCACAAACACAGCTAAGATATATCCAAATGGCAAGTTGCTCCTCCTTTCGCTTTTGCCGAGAGAGCAGTGCGTTTGAGCCATTGAATGATGAACAGGAAAAACTTGACTTTATTCTCCTGCCATGGGGGGCGCTCTTTTAAAGAGAAAAAACTCCTTCACAAATGTGTTGATGGCTGGACATTGCATCATCCTAGAAAACATGGAGGCCAGTGAGGACAAAAATAAAAAGTTATAAGACTTTTAAATATGTGGATTTTAGGGTTATATTTGGCGCCCCCTAGAACCTAAACCGTGGGGTGCAGCGTCATGATTTGAATAACTTTTAATGGCCATGGGGTGTAGATTGGCCTGAGCAAATGTGGTGCCGGTGGAACGAAAGCCTTCGGAGGAATTAGCGAAATTCCAATGTGTGCGAATCTGCAAAAAATGCGAAATAACCCTTTAACCGTACATTTTACAGATACGTGGCCATTGCCTTTTTCGAAGATCTTATGTAAATACACGTGTATGTAAAATTTTGTGTCAATACGACAAAACATACAGGCGTAGCACTCAACAATGTGTATTTTCACCTTAGTGGACAAGAAAAAATTGACTTTTTTCTCCTGCCATGGGGGGGCGCTCTTTTGGGGAGTAAAAATTCCTTCACAAATGTGTTGATGGCTGGACATTGCATCATCCTAGAAAACTTGGAGGCCAGTGGGGACAAAAATAAAAAGTTATAAGACTTTTAAATATGTGGATTTTACGGTTATCTTTGGCTCCCCCTAGAACCTAAACCGTGGGGTGCAGCGTCATGATTTGAATAACTTTTAATGGCCACGGGGTGTAGATTGGCCTGAGCAAATGTGGTGCCGGTGGAACGAAAGCCTTCGGAGGAGTTAGCGAAATTCCAATGTGTGCGGATCGGCAAAAAATGCGGAATAACCCTTTAACCGTACATTTGACAGATACGCGCGCATTGACTTTTTCGTAGATCTTATTGAGATACATGTGTGTGTCAATTTTTGTGTCATTTTGCCAAAGCGTACAGGTGTTACACTCAACAATGTGTATTTTCACCTTAGGGGACAAGAAAAAATGGACTTTTTTCTCCTGCCATGGGGGGGCGCTCTTTTGGGGAGTAAAAATTCCTTCACAAATGTGTTGATGGCTGGACATTGCATCATCCTAGAAAACTTGGAGGCCAGTGAGGGCAAAAATAAAAAGTTATAAGACTTTTAAATATGTGGATCTTAGGGTTATCTTTGGCGCCCCCTAGAACCTAAACCGTGGGGTGCAGCGTCATGATTTGAATAACTTTTAATGGCCATGGGGTGTAGATTGGCCTGAGCAAATGTGGTGCCGGTGGAACGAAAGCCTTCGGAGGAGTTAGCGAAATTCCAATGTGTGCGGATCGGCAAAAAATGCGAAATAACCCTTTAACCGTACATTTGACAGATACGCCCGCACTGACTTTTTTGTAGATCTTATTGAGATACATGTGTGTGTCAATTTTTGTGTCATTTTGACAAAGCGTACCGGCGTGACAGTCAATAGTGTGAATTTTCACCTTAGGGGGCGCTATGGAGCCATTTTGCATTTTCTTGTTTGGGCGACTTCGGAATCTCAAATTTTTCACCAGGCCCGGTCGTCCTGCCAAATTTCATGAGTTTTCGCCAGTGGGAAGTGGGCCATTTTCCAGTTCAAAGGGGAGGAAAAATAATAATAATAATAACAAACTAGGGCCCCGTTGGGGCACTGGCGGGCCCGAGCTGTGTCGCGCCCCCCCCCCCCCAACGCGCTGCCTCCCCGTCCCATTCGCGTCCTCTGGCCATCGTCCTCTCTGGTAACGCCCATCACTGCAAAGACCCTTTTCCTTCATCGGCGTTTGCTGTTCTTCCTGCCAGTGCGTGTTGCTTTCACTTACACTTGCCACAGCCAGCCTCGTGAGTGCCTAGCCTATTGGATATCACTGTCACCTACACAGGACAGTCATTACCTTTCTATTAATACTTTGTTTTTTAATTTCACATTAATTTCCATATTGTATAAACGACTGGAAAAAACTTGAGCCCCTGCCCCTGTATAATCATGTGCACGTCCCTGTTCTCGCTCCAAGGTGAATCTTCACTGCTCATGTTCTCCTCAGAAGCACTCACCTCACTCCCCTCAGGTAACTGTACACATGCACCAACTGCCTGCTTCAGGTTTGGATGGAGCTTCATGGTTGTCTTTTGGAGAAATGACCAGTCAAGTTGTGTTTGAAATTTGATTTTTTTCAGGGGCAAAAGGAGCCTCTGCATTGTTGTCAAATATGTAAATAGCATGTTTTTGCAGGTGCTAAAAAACAGACTCTGAGTGTGTGTGTGTGTGTGTGTGTGTGTGTGTGTGTGTGTGTGTGTGTGTGTGTGTGTGTGTGTGTGTCTGTGTTTGTGTGTGTCTGTGTGTGTGTATCCTGCAGTACTCTGTACTCCTGCAGTGGCCAAAACGACTTTTAAGAATGTGGATATTTGGGTCATCTTTGGCGCCCCCTAGAACGTAAACCATGGGGTGCAGCGGCATGATTTTTACAACTTTGAATGGCCATGGGATGTAGATCGGCTTGAGCAAATTTGGTGTCGGTGGGAAGAAAGCCTTAGGAGGAGTTAGCCACATTCCAATGTGTGCGAATCTGCAAAAAATGCGAAATAGCCCTTTAACCATACATTTTACAGATACGTGCCCATTGACTTTTTCGTAGATCTTATTGAGATACACGTGATTGTCAAATTTTGGGTCAATATGACAAAGCGTATAGGCGTGACACTCAACAATGTGTATTTTCACCTTAGGGGACAAGAAAAAATGGACTTTTTTCTCCTGCCATGTGGGGGCGCTCTTTTGGGGAGTAAAAATTCCTTCACAAATGTGTTGATGGCTGGACATTGCATCATCCTAGAGAACTTGGAGGCCAGTGAGGACAAAAATAAAAAGTTATAAGACTTTTAAGACTGTGGATTTTTGGGTTATCTTTGGCGCCCCCTAGAACGTAAACTGTGGGGTGCAGCGTCATGATTTGTACAACTTTTAATGGCCATGGGGTGTAGATTGGCCTGAGCAAATGTGGTGCTGGTGGAACGAATGCCTTCGGAGGAGTTAGCGAAATTCCAATGTGTGCAGATCGGCAAAAAATGCGAAATAACCCTCTAACATTACATTTCACAGATGCGCCCGCGCTGACTTTTTCGTAGAACGTATTGAGATACACGTGTGTGTCAATTTTTGTGTCAATATGACAAAGCGTACAGGCGTGACAGTCAATAGTGTGAATTTTCGCCTTAGGGGGCGCTATGGAGCCATTTTGCATTTTATTGTTTGGGCGACTTCAGAATATCGAATTTTTCACCAGGCCCGGTCGTCCTGCCAAATTTCATGAGTTTTCGCCAGTGGGAAGTCGGCCATTTTCCAGTTTAAAGCGGAGGAAAAATAATAATAACAAGAAAAAATGGACTTTTTTCTCCGGCCATGGGGGGGCGCTCTTTTGGGGAGTAAAAATTCCTTCACAAATGTGTTGATGGCTGGACATTGCATCATCCTAGAAAACTTGGAGGCCAGTGAGGGCAAAAATAAAAAGTTATAAGACTTTTAAATATGTGGATTTTAGGGTTATCTTTGGCGCCCCCTAGAACCTAAACCGTGGGGTGCAGCGTCATGATTTGAATAACTTTTAATGGCCATGGGGTGTAGATTGGCCTGAGCAAATGTGGTGCCGGTGGAAAGAAAGCCTTCGGAGGAGTTAGCGAAATTCCAATGTGTGCGGATCGGCAAAAAATGCGGAATAACCCTTTAACCGTACATTTGACAGATACGCCCGCACTGACTTTTTTGTAGATCTTATTGAGATACATATGTGTGTCAATTTTTGTGTCATTTTGACAAAGCGTAAAGGCGTGACAGTCAATAGTGTGAATTTTCACCTTAGGGGGCGCTATGGAGCCATTTTGCATTTTCTTGTTTGGGCGACTTCGGAATATCAAATTTTTCACCAGGCCCGGTCATCCTGCCAAATTTCATGAGTTTTCGCCAGTGGGAAGTGGGCCATTTTCCAGTTCAAAGGGGAGGAAAAAGAAGAAAGAAAGAAACAAAGAAAAACCACTTGGGGAATAATAGGGCTCTCGCAGCTGCTTAGCAGCTACGCTCGGGCCCTAACTAGGACCCCGTTGGGGCACTGGCGGGCCCGAGCTGTGTCGCGTCCCCCCCCCCAACGTGCTGCCTCCCCGTCCCATTCGCGTCCTCTGGCCATCGCCCTCTCTGGTAACGCCCATCACTGCAAAGACCCTTTTCCTTCATCGGCGTTTGCTGTTCTTCCTGCCAGTGCGTGTTGCTTTCACTTACACTTGCCACAGCCAGCCTCGTGAGTGCCTAGCCTATTGGATATCACTGTCACCTACACAGGACAGTCATTACCTTTCTATTAATACTTTGTTTTTTAATTTCACATTAATTTCCATATTGTATAAACAACTGGAAAAAACTTGAGCCCCTGCCCCTGTATAATCATGTGCACGTCTCTGTTCTAGCTCTAAGGTGAATCTTCACTGCTCATGTTCTCCTCAGAAGCAGTCACCTCACTCCCCTCAGGTTACTGTACACATGCACCAACTGCCTGCTTCAGGTTTGGATGGAGCTTCATGGTTGTCTTTTGGAGAAATGACCAGTCAAGTTGTGTTTGAAATCTGATTTTTTTCAGGGGCAAAAGGAGCCTCTGCATTCTTGTCAAATATGTAAATAGCATGTTTTTGCAGGTGCTAAAAACCAGACTCTGGGTTTGTGTGTGTGCGTGTGTGTGTGTGTGTGTCTGTGTGTGTGTGTGTGTGTGTGTGTGTGTGTGTGTGTGCCTTCAAGTCACACGACATATTTAACCGGATGTAGCTGCAAGACGGAGCCTCATTGACTCTCCGTTTCAACTTATCTCAAAAGTGAGGACCTCAACCTATATACCAGTTTTTAAATTGTGTTGATAGGCCAAATAAAACCAGTTATGATAAATTATGTCCGCGATACTTGTTTTCAGCTTATTTTGATCACGTTCGGCGCTCGATCGCGCTGTATGAGACAGGAAAACATAGCATGCAGACATTAGCGACAGGTCTTACAGCGGAAAAGGCTTGCCAAAGGAAAAAAAAAACACACCACAACATCTCTCCTATTGGTGGAAAACTTCACCACAACAACCAATCCAAAATTATATGGTGACTGATTGACAAGGGGCGGGCGCTTACGTTCTTCCTGCAATATGAGAAGGGAGGGAGGGACTCTCAGCAGGGATGCAGTCTGGGACACGTAGTTGCAAACCTAGCGACTTTGTTGTTAGATTCAATGACTTTTCAGACCCCCTAACGACTTTTTTTTAGAAAGAAAGTGACTTTTATCGACTTCTTCTGGAGTTTAGAGACTCTGACATGAAGCAGGCTTTCCTTACTGAGGAGTTAGCAACGCTGCTAAGGGTGCAGAGCCACACATGCGCTCCGAGCTCTGCATGGGAGACTGAAGCTGACAGAGCTGCAGCAGTTAGCAGGTTTCACCCTCAGAGACCACCAGGGGTTCATGTTGAGGCATTTTCAGTTGTTTTTTTTTTTTTTTGCCATAGACACTGTCAGCACAATCTGCAGTTACACTAACAAAAATGCTGCAAAAAACAAAGAATTATGGAAAAATTACACATGGACTAACATAGAGGAGGATCTACACAAGTTTTTTACATCATGTTTTACATCATGCATCATTTACATCATGTTTTTTTGTAGTGGCATAAATAAAAAGTGACATTTGTGAGACTATACAGTGTTTTGTAAATAATTTTACAAAGAACACCTGGGCCATTGCCTGCATTTTGATGTAAATAGAGGTAAATTACTATGTTCTTTGTTAAAAATTTGCATATGTTTTGAAGTTTACAATTTTTATTTGAAGTTTAAGTTTTAAAAACAGTTCATCACACATATTTGTGGTTTTCACAGTAAAAACGTTACTTTTTTCCACTCGGATTTTATGTTTTGTGTGTGAATTTGGGTCCAATGTGTAAATATAGTATGTCAAAATGATAAAATAACTGTAAATTGACACAGGTGAGGTTGTGCTGAAAAAAATGATACCAGGCAAGGCAAGGTAAAAATTTTGTAAGAGGAAATATAAAGGTAAAATCTAAAGTAGTCAAAAACGGCCAATAGTGACTCACAGACTCCACAGACAAGTCCCTTTGGCGCCACTCAGTGGGCAAAACTACTTTGTCTACTGTAATGTATATTTGGGTCATCTTTGGCGCCCCCTAAAACGTAAACCGTGGGGTGCAGCGTCATGATTTTTACAACTTTGAATGGCCATGGAGTGTAGATTGGCCTGAGCAAATTTGGTGTCAGTGGGACGAAAGCCTTAGGAGGAGTTAGCGAAATTCCAATGTGTGCGAATCGGCAAAAAATGCAATATAGCCCTTTTACCGTACATTATACAGATACGCGCTCTTTGACTTTTTCGTAGATCTAATTGAGATACACATGATTGTCAATTTTTGTGTCATTTTGCCAAAGCGTTCAGGCGTGACAGTCAACAATGTGTATTTTCACCTTAGGGGACAAGAAAAAATGGACTTTTTTCTCCTGCCATGGGGGGGCGCTCTTTTAGGGAGTAAAAATTCCTTCACAAATGTGTTGATGGCTGGACATTGCATCATCCTAGAAAACTTGGAGGCCAGTGAGGACAAAAATAAAAAGTTATAAGACTTTTAAAAATGTGGATTTTTGGGTTATCTTTGGCGCCCCCTAGAACGTAAACCGTGGGGTGCAGCGTCATGATTTGAATAACTTTTAATGGCCATGGGGTGTAGATTGGCCTGAGCAAATGTGGTGCCGGTGGAACGAAAGCCTTCGGAGGAGTTAGCGAAATTCCAATGTGTGCGGATCGGCAAAAAATGCGGAATAACCCTTTAACCGTACATTTGACAGATACGCGCGCTTTGACTTTTTTGTAGATCTTATTGAGATACATGTGTGTGTCAATTTTTGTGTCATTTTGACAAAGCGTACAGGCGTGACACTCAACAATGTGTATTTTCACCTTAGGGGACAAGAAAAAATGGACTTTTTTCTCCTGCCATGGGGGGGCGCTCTTTTGGGGAGTAAAAATTCCTCAACAAATGTGTTGATGGCTGGACATTGCATCATCCTAGAAAACTTGGAGGCCAGTGAGGGCAAAAAATAAAAAGTTATAAGACTTTTAAATATGTGGATTTTAGTGTTATCTTTGGCGCCCCCTAGAACCTAAACCGTGGGGTGCAGCGTCATGATTTGAATAACTTTTAATGGCCATGGGGTGTAGATTGGCCTGAGCAAATGTGGTGCCGGTGGAACGAAAGCCTTCGGAGGAGTTAGCGAAATTCCAATGTGTGCGGATCAGCAAAAAATGCGGAATAACCCTTTAACCGTACATTTGACAGATACGCACGCATTGACTTTTTCGTAGATCTTATTGAGATACATGTGTGTGTCAAATTTTGTGTCAATATGACAAAGCGTACAGGCGTGACACTCAACAATGTGTATTTTCACCTTAAGGGACAAGAAAAAATGGACTTTTTTCTCCGGCCATGGGGGGGCGCTCTTTTGGGGAGTAAAAATTCCTTCACAAATGTGTTGATGGCTGGACATTGCATCATCCTAGAAAACTTGGAGGCCAGTGAGGGCAAAAATAAAAAGTTATAAGACTTTGAAATTTGTGGATTTTAGGGTTATCTTTGGCGCCCCCTAGAACCTAAACCGTGGGGTGCAGCGTCATGATTTGAATAATTTTTAATGGCCATGGGGTGTAGATTGGCCTGAGCAAATGTGGTGCCGGTGGAAAGAAAGCCTTCGGAGGAGTTAGCGAAATTCCAATGTGTGCGGATCGGCAAAAAATGCGGAATAACCCTTTAACCGTACATTTGACAGATACGCCCGCACTGACTTTTTTGTAGATCTTATTGAGATACATATGTGTGTCAATTTTTGTGTCATTTTGACAAAGCATAAAGGCGTGACAGTCAATAGTGTGAATTTTCACCTTAGGGGGCGCTATGGAGCCATTTTGCATTTTCTTGTTTGGGCGACTTCGGAATATCAAATTTTTCACCAGGCCCGGTCATCCTGCCAAATTTCATGAGTTTTCGCCAGTGGGAAGTGGGCCATTTTCCAGTTCAAAGGGGAGGAAAAAGAAGAAAGAAAGAAACAAAGAAAAACCACTTGGGGAATAATAGGGCTCTCGCAGCTGCTTAGCAGCTACGCTCGGGCCCTAACTAGGGCCCCGTTGGGGCACTGGCGGGCCCGAGCCGCGTTGCGCCGCCCCCAGTGCGACCGCCTCCCCCTCCCGATCGCGTCACACTCAAGGTCCAAAGATGGTGTGCGCACTTGTCTGTGGTCATTTCCCATTATAATGAATGGGAGGCGCAGTTTCTACCAAAACACTCGCTGCAGACAAACTACATGTCCTATTTGAAAAAAGTCTGGACCATGAGTGAGGGCACAAACACAGCTAGGATATATCCAAACGGCAAGTTGCTCCTCGTTACGGTGTTGCCAGGAGAGCGATGCGATTGAGCCATTGAGTGATGGGCAGGAAAAACTTGACTGTTTCTCCTGCCATGGGGGATGGGGGATGGGGGATGGGGGGGGGGGGGGCGATGTGGATTCTTTTAAGAATGTGGATATTTGGGTCATCTTTGGCGCCCCCTAGAACGTAAACCGTGGGGTGCAGCATCATGATTTTTAAAACTTTGAATGGCCATGGGGTGTAGATTGGCCTGAGCAAATTTGGTGTCAGTGGGACGAAAGCCTTAGGAGGAGTTAGCCACATTCCAATGTGTGCTAATCGGCAAAAAATGCAAAATAGCCCTTTAACCGTACATTTTACAGATACGCGCGCATTGACTTTTTCGTAGATCTTATTGAGATACATGTGTGTGTCAAATTTTGTGTCAATATGACAAAGCATACAGGTATGACAGTCAACAATGTGTATTTTCACCTTATGGGACAAGAAAAAATGGACTTTTTTCTCCTGCCATGGGGGGGCGCTCTTTTGGCGAGTAAAAATTCCTTCACAAATGTGTTGATGGCTGGACATTGCATCATCCTAGAAAACTTGGAGGCCAGAGAGGACAAAAATAAAAAGTTATAAGACTTTTAAATATGTGGATTTTAGGGTTATCTTTGGCGCCCCCTAGAACCTAAACCGTGGGGTGCAGCGTCATGATTTGAATAACTTTTAATGGCCATGGGGTGTAGATTGGCCTGAGCAAATGTGGTGCCGGTGGAACGAAAGCCTTCGGAGGAGTTAGCGAAATTCCAATGTGTGCGGATCGGCAAAAAATGCGCAATAACCCTTTAACCGTACATTTGACAGATACGCTAGCACTGACTTTTTTGTAGATCTTATTGAGATACATGTGTGTGTCAATTTTTGTGTAATTTTGACAAAGCGTACAGGCGTGACAGTCAATAGTGTAATTTTTCACCTTATGGGACAAGAAAAAATGGACTTTTTTCTCCTGCCATGGGGGGGCGCTCTTTTGGGGAGTAAAAATTCCTTCACAAATGTGTTGATGGCTGGACATTGCATCATCCTAGAAAACTTGGAGGCCAGTGAGGGCAAAAATAAAAAGTTATAAGACTTTGAAATTTGTGGATTTTAGGGTTATCTTTGGCGCCCCCTAGAACCTAAACCGTGGGGTGCAGCGTCATGATTTGAATAACTTTTAATGGCCATGGGGTGTAGATTGGCCTGAGCAAATGTGGTGCCGGTGGAACGAAAGCCTTCGGAGGAGTTAGCGAAATTCCAATGTGTGCGGATCGGCAAAAAGTGCGGAATAACCCTTTAACCGTACATTTGACAGATACGCGCGCACTGTCTTTTTCGTAGATCTTATTGAGATACATGTGTGTGTCAATTTTTGTGTCATTTTGCCAAAGCGTACAGGTGTTACACTCAACAATGTGTATTTTCACCTTAGGGGACAAGAAAAAATGGACTTTTTTCTCCTGCCATGGGGGGGGCGCTCTTTTGGCGAGTAAAAATTCCTTCACAAATGTGTTGATGGCTGGACATTGCATCATCCTAGAAAACTTGGAGGCCAGTGGGGACAAAAATAAAAAGTTATAAGACTTTGAAATTTGTGGATTTTAGGGTTATCTTTGGCGCCCCCTAGAACCTAAACCGTGGGGTGCAGCGTCATGATTTGAATAACTTTTAATGGCCATGGGGTGTAGATTGGCCTGAGCAAATGTGGTGCCGGTGGAACGAAAGCCTTCGGAGGAGTTAGCGAAATTCCAATGTGTGCGGATCGGCAAAAAGTGCGGAATAACCCTTTAACCGTACATTTGACAGATACGCGCGCACTGTCTTTTTCGTAGATCTTATTGAGATACATGTGTGTGTCAATTTTTGTGTCATTTTGCCAAAGCGTACAGGTGTTACACTCAACAATGTGTATTTTCACCTTAGGGGACAAGAAAAAATGGACTTTTTTCTCCTGCCATGGGGGGGCGCTCTTTTGGCGAGTAAAAATTCCTTCACAAATGTGTTGATGGCTGGACATTGCATCATCCTAGAAAACTTGGAGGCCAGTGGGGACAAAAATAAAAAGTTATAAGACTTTTAAATATGTGGATTTTACGGTTATCTTTGGCGCCCCCTAGAACCTAAACCGTGGGGTGCAGCGTCATGATTTGAATAACTTTTTATGGCCATGGGGTGTAGATTGGCCTGAGAAAATGTGGTGCCGGTGGAACGAAAGCCTTCGGAGGAGTTAGCGAAATTCCAATGTGTGCGGATCGGCAAAAAATGCGGAATAACCCTTTAACCGTACATTTGACAGATACGTGCGCATTGACTTTTTTGTAGATCTTATTGAGATACATGTGTGTCTCAATTTTGGTGTCATTTTGCCAAAGCGTACAGGTGTTACACTCAACAATGTGTATTTTCACCTTAGGGGACAAGAAAAAATGGACTTTTTTCTCCTGCCATGGGGGGCGCTCTTTTGGGGAGTAAAAATTCCTTCACAAATGTGTTGATGGCTGGACATTGCATCATCCTAGAAAACTTGGAGGCCAGTGAGGGCAAAAATAAAAAGTTATAAGACTTTTAAATATGTGGATCTTAGGGTTATCTTTGGCGCCCCCTAGAACCTAAACCGTGGGGTGCAGCGTCATGATTTGAATAACTTTTAATGGCCATGGGGTGTAGATTGGCCTGAGCAAATGTGGTGCCGGTGGAACGAAAGCCTTCGGAGGAGTTAGCGAAATTCCAATGTGTGCGGATCGGCAAAAAATGCGAAATAACCCTTTAACCGTACATTTGACAGATACGCCCGCACTGACTTTTTTGTAGATCTTATTGAGATACATGTGTGTGTCAATTTTTGTGTCATTTTGACAAAGCGTACAGGCGTGACAGTCAATAGTGTGAATTTTCACCTTAGGGGGCGCTATGGAGCCATTTTGCATTTTCTTGTTTGGGCGACTTCGGAATATCAAATTTTTCACCAGGCCCGGTCGTCCTGCCAAATTTCATGAGTTTTCGCCAGTGGGAAGTGGGCCATTTTCCAGTTCAAAGGGGAGGAAAAATAATAACTAGGGCCCCGTTGGGGCACTGGCGGGCCCGAGCCGTGTCACGCCGCCCCCAGCGCGACCGCCTCCCTCACCCGATCGCGTCACACTCAAGGTCCAAAGATGGTGTGCGCACTTGTTTGTGGTCATTTACCATTATAATGAACGGGAGGCGCAGTTTCTACCAAAACGCTCGCTGCAGAAAAACTCCATGTCCTATTTGAAAAAAGTCTGGACCATGAGTGAGGGCACAAACACAGCTAAGATATATCCAAATGGCAAGTTGCTCCTCCTTTCGCTTTTGCCGAGAGAGCAGTGCGTTTGAGCCATTGAATGATGAACAGGAAAAACTTGACTTTATTCTCCTGCCATGGGGGGGCGCTCTTTTAAAGAGAAAAAACTCCTTCACAAATGTGTTGATGGCTGGACATTGCATCATCCTAGAAAACATGGAGGCCAGTGAGGACAAAAATAAAAAGTTATAAGACTTTTAAATATGTGGATTTTAGGGTTATATTTGGCGCCCCCTAGAACCTAAACCGTGGGGTGCAGCGTCATGATTTGAATAACTTTTAATGGCCATGGGGTGTAGATTGGCCTGAGCAAATGTGGTGCCGGTGGAACGAAAGCCTTCGGAGGAATTAGCGAAATTCCAATGTGTGCGAATCTGCAAAAAATGCGAAATAACCCTTTAACCGTACATTTTACAGATACGTGGCCATTGACTTTTTCGAAGATCTTATGTAAATACACGTGTATGTAAAATTTTGTGTCAATACGACAAAACATACAGGCGTAGCACTCAACAATGTGTATTTTCACCTTAGTGGACAAGAAAAAATTGACTTTTTTCTCCTGCCATGGGGGGGCGCTCTTTTGGGGAGTAAAAATTCCTTCACAAATGTGTTGATGGCTGGACATTGCATCATCCTAGAAAACTTGGAGGCCAGTGGGGACAAAAATAAAAAGTTATAAGACTTTTAAATATGTGGATTTTACGGTTATCTTTGGCTCCCCCTAGAACCTAAACCGTGGGGTGCAGCGTCATGATTTGAATAACTTTTAATGGCCACGGGGTGTAGATTGGCCTGAGCAAATGTGGTGCCGGTGGAACGAAAGCCTTCGGAGGAGTTAGCGAAATTCCAATGTGTGCGGATCGGCAAAAAATGCGGAATAACCCTTTAACCGTACATTTGACAGATACGCGCGCTTTGACTTTTTTGTAGATCTTATTGAGATACATGTGTGTGTCAATTTTTGTGTCATTTTGACAAAGCGTACAGGCGTGACACTCAACAATGTGTATTTTCACCTTAGGGGACAAGAAAAAATGGACTTTTTTCTCCTGCCATGGGGGGCGCTCTTTTGGGGAGTAAAAATTCCTCAACAAATGTGTTGATGGCTGGACATTGCATCATCCTAGAAAACTTGGAGGCCAGTGAGGGCAAAAAATAAAAAGTTATAAGACTTTTAAATATGTGGATTTTAGTGTTATCTTTGGCGCCCCCTAGAACCTAAACCGTGGGGTGCAGCGTCATGATTTGAATAACTTTTAATGGCCATGGGGTGTAGATTGGCCTGAGCAAATGTGGTGCCGGTGGAACGAAAGCCTTCGGAGGAGTTAGCGAAATTCCAATGTGTGCGGATCAGCAAAAAATGCGGAATAACCCTTTAACCGTACATTTGACAGATACGCACGCATTGACTTTTTCGTAGATCTTATTGAGATACATGTGTGTGTCAAATTTTGTGTCAATATGACAAAGCGTACAGGCGTGACACTCAACAATGTGTATTTTCACCTTAAGGGACAAGAAAAAATGGACTTTTTTCTCCGGCCATGGGGGGGCGCTCTTTTGGGGAGTAAAAATTCCTTCACAAATGTGTTGATGGCTGGACATTGCATCATCCTAGAAAACTTGGAGGCCAGTGAGGGCAAAAATAAAAAGTTATAAGACTTTGAAATTTGTGGATTTTAGGGTTATCTTTGGCGCCCCCTAGAACCTAAACCGTGGGGTGCAGCGTCATGATTTGAATAATTTTTAATGGCCATGGGGTGTAGATTGGCCTGAGCAAATGTGGTGCCGGTGGAAAGAAAGCCTTCGGAGGAGTTAGCGAAATTCCAATGTGTGCGGATCGGCAAAAAATGCGGAATAACCCTTTAACCGTACATTTGACAGATACGCCCGCACTGACTTTTTTGTAGATCTTATTGAGATACATATGTGTGTCAATTTTTGTGTCATTTTGACAAAGCATAAAGGCGTGACAGTCAATAGTGTGAATTTTCACCTTAGGGGGCGCTATGGAGCCATTTTGCATTTTCTTGTTTGGGCGACTTCGGAATATCAAATTTTTCACCAGGCCCGGTCATCCTGCCAAATTTCATGAGTTTTCGCCAGTGGGAAGTGGGCCATTTTCCAGTTCAAAGGGGAGGAAAAAGAAGAAAGAAAGAAACAAAGAAAAACCACTTGGGGAATAATAGGGCTCTCGCAGCTGCTTAGCAGCTACGCTCGGGCCCTAACTAGGGCCCCGTTGGGGCACTGGCGGGCCCGAGCCACGTTGCGCCGCCCCCAGTGCGACCGCCTCCCCCTCCCGATCGCGTCACACTCAAGGTCCAAAGATGGTGTGCGCACTTGTCTGTGGTCATTTCCCATTATAATGAATGGGAGGCGCAGTTTCTACCAAAACACTCGCTGCAGACAAACTACATGTCCTATTTGAAAAAAGTCTGGACCATGAGTGAGGGCACAAACACAGCTAGGATATATCCAAACGGCAAGTTGCTCCTCGTTACGGTGTTGCCGGGAGAGCGATGCGATTGAGCCATTGAGTGATGGGCAGGAAAAACTTGACTGTTTCTCCTGCCATGGGGGATGGGGGATGGGGGATGGGGGGGGGGGGGGGCGATGTGGATTCTTTTAAGAATGTGGATATTTGGGTCATCTTTGGCGCCCCCTAGAACGTAAACCGTGGGGTGCAGCATCATGATTTTTAAAACTTTGAATGGCCATGGGGTGTAGATTGGCCTGAGCAAATTTGGTGTCAGTGGGACGAAAGCCTTAGGAGGAGTTAGCCACATTCCAATGTGTGCTAATCGGCAAAAAATGCAAAATAGCCCTTTAACCGTACATTTTACAGATACGCGCGCATTGACTTTTTCGTAGATCTTATTGAGATACATGTGTGTGTCAAATTTTGTGTCAATATGACAAAGCATACAGGTATGACAGTCAACAATGTGTATTTTCACCTTATGGGACAAGAAAAAATGGACTTTTTTCTCCTGCCATGGGGGGGCGCTCTTTTGGCGAGTAAAAATTCCTTCACAAATGTGTTGATGGCTGGACATTGCATCATCCTAGAAAACTTGGAGGCCAGAGAGGACAAAAATAAAAAGTTATAAGACTTTTAAATATGTGGATTTTAGGGTTATCTTTGGCGCCCCCTAGAACCTAAACCGTGGGGTGCAGCGTCATGATTTGAATAACTTTTAATGGCCATGGGGTGTAGATTGGCCTGAGCAAATGTGGTGCCGGTGGAACGAAAGCCTTCGGAGGAGTTAGCGAAATTCCAATGTGTGCGGATCGGCAAAAAATGCGCAATAACCCTTTAACCGTACATTTGACAGATACGCTAGCACTGACTTTTTTGTAGATCTTATTGAGATACATGTGTGTGTCAATTTTTGTGTCATTTTGACAAAGCGTACAGGCGTGACAGTCAATAGTGTAATTTTTCACCTTATGGGACAAGAAAAAATGGACTTTTTTCTCCTGCCATGGGGGGGCGCTCTTTTGGGGAGTAAAAATTCCTTCACAAATGTGTTGATGGCTGGACATTGCATCATCCTAGAAAACTTGGAGGCCAGTGAGGGCAAAAATAAAAAGTTATAAGACTTTGAAATTTGTGGATTTTAGGGTTATCTTTGGCGCCCCCTAGAACCTAAACCGTGGGGTGCAGCGTCATGATTTGAATAACTTTTAATGGCCATGGGGTGTAGATTGGCCTGAGCAAATGTGGTGCCGGTGGAACGAAAGCCTTCGGAGGAGTTAGCGAAATTCCAATGTGTGCGGATCGGCAAAAAATGCGCAATAACCCTTTAACCGTACATTTGACAGATACGCCCGCACTGACTTTTTTGTAGATCTTATTGAGATACATGTGTGTGTCAATTTTTGTGTCATTTTGACAAAGCGTACAGGCGTCAGGTGAATTTTTTACCTTAGGGGGCGCTATGGAGCCATTTTGCATTTTCTTGTTTGGGCGACTTCGGAATATCAAATTTTTCACCAGGCCCGGTCGTCCTGCCAAATTTCATGAGTTTTCGCCAGTGGGAAGTGGGCCATTTTCCAGTTCAAAGGGGAGGAAAAATAACTAGGGCCCCGTTGGGGCACTGGTGGGCCCGAGCCGTGTCGCGCCGCCCCCAGCGCGACCGCCTACCCCTCCCGATCGCGTCACACTCAAGGTCCAAAGATGGTGTGCGCACTTGTCTGTGGTCATTTACCATTATAATGAATGGGAGGCGCAGTTTCTACCAAAACGCTCGCTGCAGACAAACTCCATGTCCTTTTTGAAAAAAGTCTGGACCATGAGTGAGGGCACAAAGACAGCTAGTATATATCCAAATGGCAAGGTGCTCCTCCTTTCGGTTTTGCCGAGAGAGCGATGCGTTTGAGCCATTGAGCGATGGGCAGGAAAAACTTGACTTTTTCTCCTGCCGTGGGAGGGCGCTCTTTTGGGGAGAAAAAATTCCTTCACAAATGTGTTGATGACTGAACATTGCATCATCCTAGAAAACTTGGAGGCCAGTGAGGACAAAAATAAAGTTATAAGACTTTTAAAAATGTGGATATTTGGGTCCTCTTTGGCGCCCCCTAGAACGTAAACCGTGGGGTGCAGCGTCATGATTTTTACAACTTTGAATGGCCATGGGGTGTAGATTGGCCTGAGCAAATTTGGTGTCAGTGGAACGAAAGCCTTAGGAGGAGTTAGCCACATTCCAATGTGTGCGAATCGGCAAAAAATGCGAAATAGCCCTTTAACCGTACATTTTACAGATACGTGCACATTGACTTTTTCGTAGATCTTATTGAGATACAAGTGATTGCCAAATTTTGTGTCAATATGACAAAGCGTACAGGCGTGACACTCAACAATGTGTATATTCGCCTTAGGGGACAAGAAAAAAATGGACTTTTTTCTCCTGCCATGGGGGGGCGCTCTTTTGGCGAGTAAAAATTCCTTCACAAATGTGTTAATTGCTGGACATTGCATCATCCTAGAGAACTTGGAGGCCAGTGAGGACAAAAATAAAAAGTTATAAGACTTTTAAGAATGTGGATTTTTGGGTTATCTTTGGCGCCCCCTAGAACTTAAACCGTGGGGTGCAGCGTCATGATTTGTACAACTTTTAATGGCCATGGGGTGTAGATTGGCCTGAGCAAATTTGGTGCCGATGGGACGAAAGCTTTAGGAGGAGTTAGCCACATTCCAATGTGTGCGAATCGGCAAAAAATGCGAAATAGCCCTTTAACTGTACATTTTACAGATACGCGCACATTGACTTTTTCGTAGATCTTATTGAGATACATGTGTGTGTTAATTTTTGTGTCAATATGACAAAGCGTACAGGCGTGACACTCAACAATGTGTATATTCGCCTTACGGGACAAGAAAAAATGGACTTTTTTCTCCTGCCATGGGGGGCGCTCTTTTGGCGAGTAAAAATTCCTTCACAAATGTGTTGATGGCTGGACATTGCATCCACCTAGAAAACTTGGAGGCCAGTGAGGACAAATGTAAAAAGTTATGACTTTTAAGAATGTGGATTTTTGGGTTATCTTTGGCGCCCCCTAGAACGTAAACCGTGGGGTGCAGCGTCATGATTTGTACAACTTTTAATGGCCATGGGGGGTAGATTGGCCTGCGCAAATGTGGTGCCGGTCGAACGAAAGCCTTCGGAGGAGTTAGCGAAATTCCAATGTGTGCAGATCTGCAAAAAATGCAAAATAACCCATTAACCGTACATTTGACAGATACGCCCGCACTGACTTTTTTGTAGATCTTATTGAGATACATGTGTGTGTCAATTTTTGTGTCAATATGACAAAGCGTACAGCCGTCATGTGAATTTTCACCTTAGGGGGCGCTATGGAGCCATTTTGCATTTTATTGTTTGGGCGACTTCAGAATATCGAATTTTTCACCAGGCCCGGTCGTCCTGCCAAATGTCCTGAGTTTTCGCCAGTGGGAAGTGGGCCATTTTCCAGTTTGAAGCGGAGGAAAAATAATAACGAAAGAAGGAAACATGCAGGAACAAGAGGGCTCTCGCAGCTGCTTAGCAGCTACGCTCGGGCCCTAATAATAACAAAAGAAGGAAACATGCAGGAACAAGAGGGCTCTCGCAGCTGCTTAGCAGCTACGCTCGGGCCCTAAAAAAGGAAACTACAGGAACAAGAGGGCTCTCGCAGCTGCTTAGCAGCTACGCTCGGGCCCTAACTAGGACCCCGTTGGGGCACTGGCGGGCCCGAGCTGTGTCGCGTCCCCCCCCCAACGCGCTGCCTCCCCGTCCCATTTGTGTCCTCTGGCCATCGTCCTCTCATGTAACGCCCATCACTGCAAAGACCCTTTTCCTTCATCGGCGTTTGCTGTTCTTCCTGCCAGTGCGTGTTGCTTTCACTTACACTTGCCACAGCCAGCCTCTTGAGTGCCTAGCCTATTGGATATCACTGTCACCTACTCAGGACAGTCATTACCTTTCTATTAATACTTTGTTTTTTAATTTCACATTAATTTCCATATTGTATAAACAACTGGAAAAAACTTGAGCCCCTGCCCCTGTATAATCATGTGCACGTCTCTGTTCTAGCTCTAAGCTGAATCTTCACTGCTCATGTTCTCCTCAGAAGCAGTCACCTCACTCCCCTCAGGTTACTGTACACATGCACCAACTGCCTGCTTCAGGTTTGGATGGAGCTTCATGGTTGTCTTTTGGAGAAATGACCAGTCAAGTTGTGTTTGAAATTTGATTTTTTTCAGGGGCAAAAGGAGCCTCTGCATTCTTGTCAAATATGTAAATAGCATGTTTTTGCAGGTGCTAAAAACCAGACTCTGAGTGTGTGTGTGTGTGTGTGTGTGTGTGTGTGTGTGTGTGTGTGTGTGTGTGTGTGTGTGTGTGTGTGCGTTCAAGTCACATGACATATTTAACCGGATGTAGCTGCAAGACGGAGCCTCGTTGACCCTCCGTTTCAACTTATCTCAAAAGTGAGGACCTCAACCTATATACCAGTTTTTAAATTGTGTTGATAGGCCAAATAAAACCAGAGTTATGATAAATTATGTCCGCGATACTTGTTTTCTGCTTATTTTGATCACGTTCGGCGCTCGATCGCGCTGTATGAGACAGGAAAACATAGCATGCAGACATTAGCGACAGGTCTTACAGGCGGAAAAGGCTTGCCAAAGGAAAAAAAAAACACACCACAACATCTCTCCTATTGGTGGAAAACTTCACCACAACAACCAATCCAAAATTATATGGTGACTGATTGACAAGGGGCGGGCGCTTACGTTCTTCCTGCAATATGAGAAGGGAGGGAGGGACTCTCAGCAGGGATGCAGTCTGGGACACGTAGTTGCAAACCTAGCGACTTTGTTGTTAGATTCAATGACTTTTCAGACCCCCTAACGACGTTTTTTTAGAAAGAAAGTGACTTTTATCGACTTCTTCTGGAGTTTAGAGACTCTGACATGAAGCAGGCTTTCCTTACTGAGGAGTTAGCAACGCTGCTAAGGGTGCAGAGCCACACATGCGCTCCGAGCTCTGCATGGGAGACTGAAGCTGACAGAGCTGCAGCAGTTAGCAGGTTTCACCCTCAGAGACCACCAGGGGTTCATGTTGAGGCATTTTCAGTTTTTTTTTTTTTTTTTGCCATAGACACTGTCAGCACAATCTGCAGTTACACTAACAAAAATGCTGCAAAAAACAAAGAATTATGGAAAAATTACACATGGACTGACATAGAGGAGGATCTACACAAGTTTTTTACATCATGTTTTACATCATGCATCATTTACATCATGTTTTTTTGTAGTGGCATAAATAAAAAGTGACATTTGTGAGACTATACAGTGTTTTGTAAATAATTTTACAAAGAACACCTGGGCCATTGCCTGCATTTTGATGTAAATAGAGGTAAATTACTATGTTCTTTGTTAAAAATTTGCATATGTTTTGAAGTTTACAATTTTTATTTGAAGTTTAAGTTTTAAAAACAGTTCATCACACATATTTGTGGTTTTCACAGTAAAAACGTTACTTTTTTCCACTCGGATTTTATGTTTTGTGTGTGAATTTGGGTCCAATGTGTAAATATAGTATGTCAAAATGATAAAATAACTGTAAATTGACACAGGTGAGGTTGTGCTGAAAAAAATGATACCAGGCAAGGCAAGGTAAAAATTTTGTAAGAGGAAATATAAAGGTAAAATCTAAAGTAGTCAAAAACGGCCAATAGTGACTCACAGACTCCACAGACAAGTCCCTTTGGCGCCACTCAGTGGGCAAAACTACTTTGTCTACTGTAATGTATATTTGGGTCATCTTTGGCGCCCCCTAAAACGTAAACCGTGGGGTGCCGCGTCATGATTTTTACAACTTTGAATGGCCATGGAGTGTAGATTGGCCTGAGCAAATTTGGTGTCAGTGGGACGAAAGCCTTAGGAGGAGTTAGCGAAATTCCAATATGTGCGAATCGGCAAAAAATGCAAAATAGCCCTTTTACCGTACATTATACAGATACGCGCTCTTGACTTTTTCGTAGATCTAATTGAGATACACATGATTGTCAATTTTTGTGTCATTTTGCCAAAGCGTACAGGCGTGACAGTCAACAATGTGTATTTTCACCTTAGGGGACAAGAAAAAATGGACTTTTTTCTCCTGCCATGGGGGGGCGCTCTTTTGGGGAGTAAAAATTCCTTCACAAATGTGTTGATGGCTGGACATTGCATCATCCTAGAAAACTTGGAGGCCAGTGAGGACAAAAATAAAAAGTTATAAGACTTTGAAATATGTGGATTTTAGTGTTATCTTTGGCGCCCCCTAGAACCTAAACCGTGGGGTGCAGCGTCATGATTTGAATAACTTTTAATGGCCATGGGGTGTAGATTGGCCTGAGCAAATGTGGTGCCGGTGGAACGAAAGCCTTCGGAGGAGTTAGCGAAATTCCAATGTGTGCGGATCGGCAAAAAATGCGCAATAACCCTTTAACCGTACATTTGACAGATACGCCCGCACTGACTTTTTTGTAGATCTTATTGAGATACATGTGTGTGTCAATTTTTGTGTCATTTTGACAAAGCGTACAGGCGTCAAGTGAATTTTTCACCTTAGGGGGCGCTATGGAGCCATTTTGCATTTTCTTGTTTGGGCGACTTCGGAATATCAAATTTTTCACCAGGCCCGGTCGTCCTGCCAAATTTCATGAGTTTTCGCCAGTGGGAAGTGGGCCATTTTCCAGTTCAAAGGGGAGGAAAAATAATAACTAGGACCCCGTTGGGGCACTGGCGGGCCCGAGCCGTGTCGTGTCTCCCCCCCCCCCCAATGTGCTGCCTCCCCGTCCCATTTGTGTCCTCTGGCCATCGCCCTCTCTGTTAACGCCCATCACTGCAAAGACCCTTTTCCTTCATCGGCGTTTGCTGTTCTTCCTGCCAGTGCGTGTTGCTTTCACTTACACTTGCCACAGCCAGCCTCGTGAGTGCCTAGCCTATTGGATATCACTGTCACCTACACAGGACAGTCATTACCTTTCTCTTAATACTTTGTGTTTTAATTTCACATTAATTTCCATATTGTATAAACGACTGGAAAAAACTTGAGCCCCTGCCCCTGTATAATCATGTGCATGTCTCTGTTCTAGCTCCAAGGTGAATCTTCACTGCTCATGTTCTCCTCAGAAGCACTCACCTCACTCCCCTCAGGCTACTGTACACATGCACCAACTGCCTGCTTCAGGTTTGGATGGAGCTTCATGGTTGTCTTTTGGAGAAATGACCAGTCAAGTTGTGTTTGAAATTTGATTTTTTTCAGGGGCAAAAGGAGCCTCTGCATTCTTGTCAAATATGTAAATAGCATGTTTTTGCAGGTGCTAAAAACCAGACTCTGAGTGTGTGTGTGTGTGTGTGTGTGTGTGTGTGTGTGTCTATGTGTGCGTTCAAATCACATGACATATTTAACCGGATGTAGCTGCAAGACGGAGCCTCGTTGACTCTCCGTTTCAACTTATCTCAAAAGTGAGGACCTCAACCTATATACCAGTTTTTAAATTGTGTTGATAGGCCAAATAAAACCAGAGTTATGATAAATTATGTCCGCGATACTTTTTTTCTGCTTATTTTGATCACGTTCGGCGCTCGATCGCGCTGTATGAGACAGGAAAACATAGCATGCAGACATTAGCGACAGGTCTTACAGGCGGAAAAGGCTTGCCAAAAGAAAAAAAAAACACACCACAACATCTCTCCTATTGGTGGAAAACTTCACCACAACAACCAATCCAAAATTATATGGTGACGGATTGACAAGGGGCGGGCGCTTACGTTCTTCCTGCAACATGAGAAGGGAGGGAGGGACTCTCAGCAGGGATGCAGTCTGGGACACGTAGTTGCAAACCTAGCGACTTTGTTGTTAGATTCAATGACTTTTCAGACACCCTAACGACTTTTTTTTAGAAAGAAAGGGACTTTTATCGACTTCTTCTGGAGTTTAGAGACTCTGACATGAAGCAGGCTTTCCTTACAGAGGAGTTAGCAACGCTGCTAAGGGTGCAGAGCCACACATGCGCTCAGAGCTCTGCATGGGAGACTGAAGCTGACAGAGCTGCAGCAGTTAGCAGCTTTCACCCTCAGAGACCACCAGGGGTTCATGTTGAGGCATTTTAATTTTTTTTTTTTTTTTGTGCCATAGACACTGTCAGCACAATCTGCAGTTACACTAACAAAAATGCTGCAAAAAACAAAGAATTATGGAAAAATTACACATGGACTGACATAGAAGAGGATCTACACAAGTTTTTTACATCATGTTTTACATCATGCATCATTTACATCATGTTTTTTTGTAGTGGCATAAATAAAAAGTGACATTTGTGAGACTATACAGTGTTTTGTAAATAATTTTACAAAGAACGCCTGGGCCATTGCCTGCATTTTGATGTAAATAGAGGTAAATTACTATGTTCTTTGTTAAAAATTTGCATATGTTTTGAAGTTTACAATTTTTATTTGAAGTTTAAGTTTTAAAAACAGTTCATCACACATATTTGTGGTTTAATTTCACATTAATTTCCATATTGTATAAATGACTGGAAAAAACTTGAGCCCCTGCCCCTGTATAATCATGTGCACGTCCCTGTTCTAGCTCCAAGGTGAATCTTCACTGCTCATGTTCTCCTCAGAAATAGTCACCTCATTCCCCTCAGGTTACTGTACACATGCACCAACTATCTGCTTCAGGTTTGAAATGGAGCTTCATGGTTGTCTTTTGGAGAAATGAACAGTCAAGTTGTGTTTGAAATTTGATTTTTTTCAGGGGCAAAAGGAAGCCTCTGCATTCTTGTCAAATATGTAAACAGCATGTTTTTGCAGGTGCTAAAAAACAGACTCTGAGTGTGTGTGTGTGTGTGTCTGTGTGTGTGTGTGTGTGTGTGTGTGTGTGTGTGTGTATGTTGGCGTGTGTGTATATGTGTGTGTATCCTGCAGTACTCTGTTCTCCTGCAGTGGCCAAAAAGACTTTTAAGAATGTGGATTTTTGGGTCATCTTTGGCGCCCCCTAGAACTGCAGTACTCTGTACTCCTGCAGTGGCCAAAATGACTTTTAAGAATGTGGATTTTTGGGTCATCTTTGGCGCCCCCTAGAACGTAAACCGTGGGGTGCAGCGTCATGATTTTTACAACTTTGAATGGGCATGGGGGGTAGATTGCCCTGAGCAAATTTGGTATCGGTGGGACGAAAGCCTTAGGAGGAGATAGCCACATTCCAATGTGTGCGAATCGGCAAAAAATGCAAAATAGCCCTTTAACCGTACATTATACAGATACGTGCTCTTTGACTTTTTCGTAGATCTAATTGAGATACACATGATTGTCAATTTTTGTGTCAATATGACAAAGCGTTCAGGCGTGACACTCAACAATGTGTATTTTTATGTAAGGGGACAAGAAAAAATTGACTTTTTTCTCCTGCCATGGGGGGGCGCTCTTTTGGGGAGTAAAAATTCCTTCACAAATGTGTTGATGGCTGGACATTGCATCATCCTAGAAAACTTGGAGGCCAGTGAGGACAAAAATAAAAAGTTATAAAACATTTAAGAATGTGGATTTTTGGGTTATTTTTGGCGCCCCCTAGAACCTAAACCGTGGGGTGCAGCATCATGATTTGAATAACTTTTAATGGCCATGGGGTGTAGATTGGCCTGAGCAAATGTGGTGCCGGTGGAACGAAAGCCTTCGGAGGAGTTAGCGAAATTCCAATGTGTGCGTATCGGCAAAAAATGCGGAATAACCCTTTAACTGTACATTTGACAGATACGCGCGCATGGACTTTTTTGTAGATCTTATTGAGTTACATGTGTGTGTCAATTTTTGTGTCATTTTGACAAAGCGTATAGGCGTGACACTCAACAATGTGTATTTTCACCTTAGGGGACAAGAAAAAATGGACTTTTTTCTCCTGCCATGGGGGGGCGCTCTTTTGGGGAGTAAAAATTCCTTCACAAATGTGTTGATGGCTGGACATTGCATCATCCTAGAAAACTTGGAGGCCAGTGAGGACAAAAATAAAAAGTTATAAGACTTTTAAATATGTGGATTTTAGTGTTATCTTTGGCGCCCCCTAGAACCTAAACCTTGGGGTGCAGCGTCATGATTTTGATAACTTTTAATGGCCACGGGGTGTAGATTGGCCTGAGCAAATGTGGTGCCGGTGGAACGAAAGCCTTCGGAGGAGTTAGCGAAATTCCAATGTGTGCGGATCGGCAAAAAATGCGAAATAACCCTTTAACCGTAATTTTGACAGATACGGCCGCACTGACTTTTTTGTAGATCTTATTGAGATACATATGTGTGTCAATTTTTGTGTCAATATGACAAAGCGTACAGGCGTGACAGTCAATAGTGTGAATTTCCACCTTAGGGGGCGCTATGGAGCCATTTTGCATTTTATTGTTTGGGCGACTTCAGAATATCGAATTTTTCACCAGGCCCGGTCGTCCTGCCAAATTTCATGAGTTTTCGCCAGTGGGAAGTGGGCCATTTTCCAGTTCAAAGGGGAGGAAAAAGAAGAAAGAAAGAAAGAACTAGGGCCCCGGTGGGGCACTGTCGGGCCCGAGCCGCGTCGCGCCGCCCCCAGCGCGACCGCCTCCCCCTCCCGATCGCGTCACACTCAAGGTCCAAAGATGGTGTGCGCACTTGTCTGTGGTCATTTCCCATTATAATGAATGGGAGGCGCAGTTTCTACCAAAACACTCGCTGCAGACAAACTACATATCCTATTTGAAAAAAGTCTGGACCATGAGTGAGGGCACAAACACAGCTAGGATATATCCAAACGGCAAGTTGCTCCTCGTTACGGTGTTGCCGGGAGAGCGATGCGATTGAGCCATTGAGTGATGGGCAGGAAAAACTTGACTGTTTCTCCTGCCATGGGGGATGGGGGATGGGGGGAGATGTGGATTCTTTTAAGAATGTGGATATTTGGGTCATCTTTGGCGCCCCCTAGAACGTAAACCGTGGGGTGCACCGTCATGACTTTTACAACTTTTAATGGCCATGGGTGTAGATTGGCCTGAGCAAATTTGGTGTCAGTGGGATGAAAGCCTTAGGAGGAGTTAGCCACATTCCAATGTGTGCGAATCGGCAAAAAATGCAAAATAGCCCTTTAACCGTACATTTGACAGATACGCGTGCATTGACTTTTTCGTAGATGTTATTGAGACACACGTGATTGTCAAATTTTGTGTCAATATGACAAAGCGTACAGGCGTGACACTCAACAATGTGTATTTTCACCTTAGGGGACAAGAAAAAATTGACTTTTTTCTCCTGCCATGGGGGGGCGCTCTTTTGGGGAGTAAAAATTCCTTCACAAATGTGTTGATGGCTGGACATTGCATCATCCTAGAGAACTTGGAGGCCAGTGAGGACAAAAATAAAAAGTTATAAGACTTTTAAATATGTGGATTTAGGGTTATATTTGGCGCCCCCTAGAACCTAAACCGTGGGGTGCAGCATCATGATTTGAATAACTTTCAATGGCCATGGGGTGTAGATTGGCCTGAGCAAATGTGGTGCCGGTGGAACGAAAGCCTTAGGAGGAGTTAGCGAAATTCCAATGTGTGCGCATCGGCAAAAAATGCGAAATAACCCTTTAACCGTACATTTGACAGATACGCGGCATTGACTTTTTCGTAGATCTTATTGAGATACATGTGTGTGTCAATTTTTGTGTCAATATGACAAAGCGTACAGGCCTGACAGTCAATAGTGTGAATTTTCACCTTAGGGGACAAGAAAAAATGGACTTTTTTCTTCTGCCATGGGGGGCGCTCTTTTGGGGAGTAAAAATTCCTTCACAAATGTGTTGATGGCTGGACATTGCATCATCCTAGAAAACTTGGAGGCCAGTGAGGACAAAAATAAAAAGTTATAAGACTTTTAAATATGTGGATTTTAGTGTTATCTTTGGCGCCCCCTAGAACCTAAACCTTGGGGTGCAGCGTCATGATTTTGATAACTTTTAATGGCCACGGGGTGTAGATTGGCCTGAGCAAATGTGGTGCCGGTGGAACAAAAGCCTTAGGAGGAGTTAGCCACATTCCAATGTGTGCGGATCGGCAAAAAATGCGGAATAACCCTTTAACCGTACATTTGACAGATACGCGCGCATTGACTTTTTCGTAGATCTTATTGAGTTACATGTGTGTGTCAATTTTTGTGTCATTTTGACAAAGCGTATAGGCGTGACACTCAACAATGTGTATTTTCACCTTAGGGGACAAGAAAAAATGGACTTTTTTCTTCTGCCATGGGGGGCGCTCTTTTGGGGAGTAAAAATTCCTTCACAAATGTGTTGATGGCTGGACATTGCATCATCCTAGAAAACTTGGAGGCCAGTGAGGACAAAAATAAAAAGTTATAAGACTTTTAAATATGTGGATTTTAGTGTTATCTTTGGCGCCCCCTAGAACCTAAACCTTGGGGTGCAGCGTCATGATTTTGATAACTTTTAATGGCCACGGGGTGTAGATTGGCCTGAGCAAATGTGGTGCCGGTGGAACGAAAGCCTTCGGAGGAGTTAGCGAAATTCCAATGTGTGCGGATCGGCAAAAAATGCGGAATAACCCTTTAACCGTACATTTGACAGATACAGCCGCACTGACTTTTTTGTAGATCTTATTGAGATACATATGTGTGTCAATTTTTGTGTCAATATGACAAAGCGTACAGGCGTGACAGTCAATAGTGTGAATTTTCACCTTAGGGGGCGCTATGGAGCCATTTTGCATTTTATTGTTTGGGCGACTTCAGAATATCAAATTTTTCACCAGGCCCGGTCGTCCTGCCAAATTTCATGAGTTTTCGCCAGTGGGAAGTGGGCCATTTTCCAGTTCAAAGGGGAGGAAAAAGAAGAAAGAAAGAAAGAAAGAAAGAAACAAAGAAAAACCACTTGGGGAATAATAGGGCCTACGCCCGGCTGCTCTGCAGCTGGCTCGGGCCCTAAAGAAAGAAAGAAAGAAAGAAACAAAGAAAAACCACTTGGGGAATAATAGGGCCTACGCCCGGCTGCTCTGCAGCTGGCTCGGGCCCTAATAACAAAAGAAGGTAACTACAGGAACAAGAGGGCTCTCGCAGCTGCTTAGCAGCTACGCTCGGGCCCTAAAGAAACAAAGACTAGGACCCCGTTGGGGCACTGGCGGGCCCGAGCCGTGTCGCGTCCCCCCCAACGTGCTGCCTCCCCGTCCCATTTGTGTCCTCTGGCCATCGCCCTCTCTGGTAACGCCCATCACTGCAAAGACCCTTTTCCTTCATCGGCGTTTGCTGTTCTTCCTGCCAGTGCGTGTTGCTTTCACTTACACTTGCCACAGCCAGCCTCGTGAGTGCCTAGCCTATTGGATATCACTGTCACCTACACAGAACAGTCATTACCTTTCTATTAATACTTTGTGTTTTAATTTCACATTAATTTCCATATTGTATAGACGACTGGAAAAAACTTGAGCCCCTGCCCCTGTATAATCATGTGCATGTCTCTGTTCTAGCTCCAAGGTGAATCTTCACTGCTCATGTTCTCCTCAGAAGCACTCACCTCACTCCCCTCAGGTTACTGTACACATGCACCAACTGCCTGCTTCAGGTTTGGATGGAGCTTCATGGTTGTCTTTTGGAGAAATGACCAGTCAAGTTGTGTTTGAAATTTGATTTTTTTCAGGGGCAAAAGGAGCCTCTGCATTCTTGTCAAATATGTAAATAGCATGTTTTTGCAGGTGCTAAAAACCAGACTCTGAGTGTGTGTGTGTGTGTGTGTGTGTGTGTGTGTGTGTGTGTGTGTGTGTGTGTGTGTGTGTGTGTGTGTGTCTGTGTGTGCGTTCAAGTCACATGACATATTTAACCGGATGTAGCTGCAAGACGGAGCCTCGTTGACTCTCCGTTTCAACTTATCTCAAAAGTGAGGACCTCAACCTATATACCAGTTTTTAAATTGTGTTGATAGGCCAAATAAAACCAGAGTTATGATAAATTATGTCCGCGATACTTTTTTTCTGCTTATTTTGATCACGTTCGGCGCTCGATCGCGCTGTATGAGACAGGAAAACATAGCATGCAGACATTAGCGACAGGTCTTACAGGCGGAAAAGGCTTGCCAAAAGAAAAAAAAAACACACCACAACATCTCTCCTATTGGTGGAAAACTTCACCACAACAACCAATCCAAAATTATATGGTGACTGATTGACAAGGGGCGGGCGCTTACGTTCTTCCTGCAACATGAGAAGCGAGGGAGGGACTCTCAGCAGGGATGCAGTCTGGGACACGTAGTTGCAAACCTAGCGACTTTGTTGTTAGATTCAATGACTTTTCAGACCCCCTAACGACTTTTTTTAGAAAGAAAGGGACTTTTATCGACTTCTTCTGGAGATTAGAGACTCTGACATGAAGCAGGCTTTCCTTACTGAGGAGTTAGCAACGCTGCTAAGGGTGCAGAGCCACACATGCGCTCAGAGCTCTGCATGGGAGACTGAAGCTGACAGAGCTGCAGCAGTTAGCAGGTTTCACCCTCAGAGACCACCAGGGGTTCATGTTGAGGCATTTTAAATTTTTTTTTTTTTGTGCCATAGACACTGTCAGCACAATCTGCAGTTACACTAACAAAAATGCTGCAAAAAACAAAGAATTATGGAAAAATTACACATGGACTGACATAGAGGAGGATCTACACAAGTTTTTTACATCATGTTTTACATCATGCATCATTTACATCATGTTTTTTTGTAGTGGCATAAATAAAAAGTGACATTTGTGAGACTATACAGTGTTTTGTAAATAATTTTACAAAGAACGCCTGGGCCATTGCCTGCATTTTGATGTAAATAGAGGTAAATTACTATGTTCTTTGTTAAAAATTTGCATATGTTTTGAAGTTTACAATTTTTATTTGAAGTTTAAGTTTTAAAAACAGTTCATCACACATATTTGTGGTTTTCACAGTAAAAATGTTACTTTTTTCCACTCGGATTTTATGTTTTGTGTGTGAATTTGGGTCCATTGTGTAAATTCAGTATGTCAACATGATAAAATAACTGTAAATTCGCACAGGTGAGGTTGGGCTGAAAAAAATGATACCAGGCAAGGCACGTGATTGTCAAATTTTGTGTCAATATGACAAAGCGTATAGGCGTGAATCTCAACAATATGTATTTTCACCTTAGGGGACAAGAAAAAATGGACTTTTTTCTCCTGCCATGGGGGGCGCTCTTTTGGGGAGTAAAAATTCCTTCACAAATGTGTTGATGGCTGGACATTGCATCATCCTAGAAAACTTGGAGGCCAGTGAGGACAAAAATAAAAAGTTATAAGACTTTTAAATATGTGGATTTTAGGGTTATCTTTGGCGCCCCCTAGAACCTAAACCGTGGGGTGCAGCGTCATGATTTGAATAACTTTTAATGGCCATGGGGTGTAGATTGGCCTGAGCAAATGTGGTGCCGGTGGAACGAAAGCCTTAGGAGGAGTTAGCCACATTCCAATGTGTGCGGATCGGCAAAAAATGCGGAATAACCCTTTAACCGTACATTTGACAGATACGCACGCATTGACTTTTTCGTAGATCTTATTGAGTTACATGTGTGTGTCAATTTTTGTGTAATTTTGACAAAGCGTATAGGCGTGACACTCAACAATGTGTATTTTCACCTTAGGGGACAAGAAAAAATGGACTTTTTTCTCCTGCCATGGGGGGGCGCTCTTTTGGTGAGTAAAAATTCCTTCACAAATGTGTTGATGGCTGGACATTGCATCATCCTAGAAAACTTGGAGGCCAGTGAGGACAAAAATAAAAAGTTATAAGACTTTTAAATATGTGGATTTTAGTGTTATCTTTGGCGCCCCCTAGAACCTAAACCTTGGGGTGCAGCGTCATGATTTTGATAACTTTTAATGGCCACGGGGTGTAGATTGGCCTGAGCAAATGTGGTGCCGGTGGAACGAAAGCCTTCGGAGGAGTTAGCGAAATTCCAATGTGTGCGGATCGGCAAAAAATGCGAAATAACCCTTTAACCGTAATTTTGACAGATACGGCCGCACTGACTTTTTTGTAGATCTTATTGAGATACATATGTGTGTCAATTTTTGTGTCAATATGACAAAGCGTACAGGCGTGACAGTCAATAGTGTGAATTTCCACCTTAGGGGGCGCTATGGAGCCATTTTGCATTTTATTGTTTGGGCGACTTCAGAATATCGAATTTTTCACCAGGCCCGGTCGTCCTGCCAAATTTCATGAGTTTTCGCCAGTGGGAAGTGGGCCATTTTCCAGTTCAAAGGGGAGGAAAAAGAAGAAAGAAAGAAAGAACTAGGGCCCCGGTGGGGCACTGTCGGGCCCGAGCCGCGTCGCGCCGCCCCCAGCGCGACCGCCTCCCCCTCCCGATCGCGTCACACTCAAGGTCCAAAGATGGTGTGCGCACTTGTCTGTGGTCATTTCCCATTATAATGAATGGGAGGCGCAGTTTCTACCAAAACACTCGCTGCAGACAAACTACATATCCTATTTGAAAAAAGTCTGGACCATGAGTGAGGGCACAAACACAGCTAGGATATATCCAAACGGCAAGTTGCTCCTCGTTACGGTGTTGCCGGGAGAGCGATGCGATTGAGCCATTGAGTGATGGGCAGGAAAAACTTGACTGTTTCTCCTGCCATGGGGGATGGGGGATGGGGGGGAGATGTGGATTCTTTTAAGAATGTGGATATTTGGGTCATCTTTGGCGCCCCCTAGAACGTAAACCGTGGGGTGCACCGTCATGACTTTTACAACTTTTAATGGCCATGGGTGTAGATTGGCCTGAGCAAATTTGGTGTCAGTGGGATGAAAGCCTTAGGAGGAGTTAGCCACATTCCAATGTGTGCGAATCGGCAAAAAATGCAAAATAGCCCTTTAACCGTACATTTGACAGATACGCGTGCATTGACTTTTTCGTAGATGTTATTGAGACACACGTGATTGTCAAATTTTGTGTCAATATGACAAAGCGTACAGGCGTGACACTCAACAATGTGTATTTTCACCTTAGGGGACAAGAAAAAATTGACTTTTTTCTCCTGCCATGGGGGGGCGCTCTTTTGGGGAGTAAAAATTCCTTCACAAATGTGTTGATGGCTGGACATTGCATCATCCTAGAGAACTTGGAGGCCAGTGAGGACAAAAATAAAAAGTTATAAGACTTTTAAATATGTGGATTTAGGGTTATATTTGGCGCCCCCTAGAACCTAAACCGTGGGGTGCAGCATCATGATTTGAATAACTTTCAATGGCCATGGGGTGTAGATTGGCCTGAGCAAATGTGGTGCCGGTGGAACGAAAGCCTTAGGAGGAGTTAGCGAAATTCCAATGTGTGCGCATCGGCAAAAAATGCGAAATAACCCTTTAACCGTACATTTGACAGATACGCGGCATTGACTTTTTCGTAGATCTTATTGAGATACATGTGTGTGTCAATTTTTGTGTCAATATGACAAAGCGTACAGGCCTGACAGTCAATAGTGTGAATTTTCACCTTAGGGGACAAGAAAAAATGGACTTTTTTCTTCTGCCATGGGGGGCGCTCTTTTGGGGAGTAAAAATTCCTTCACAAATGTGTTGATGGCTGGACATTGCATCATCCTAGAAAACTTGGAGGCCAGTGAGGACAAAAATAAAAAGTTATAAGACTTTTAAATATGTGGATTTTAGTGTTATCTTTGGCGCCCCCTAGAACCTAAACCTTGGGGTGCAGCGTCATGATTTTGATAACTTTTAATGGCCACGGGGTGTAGATTGGCCTGAGCAAATGTGGTGCCGGTGGAACAAAAGCCTTAGGAGGAGTTAGCCACATTCCAATGTGTGCGGATCGGCAAAAAATGCGGAATAACCCTTTAACCGTACATTTGACAGATACGCGCGCATTGACTTTTTCGTAGATCTTATTGAGTTACATGTGTGTGTCAATTTTTGTGTCATTTTGACAAAGCGTATAGGCGTGACACTCAACAATGTGTATTTTCACCTTAGGGGACAAGAAAAAATGGACTTTTTTCTTCTGCCATGGGGGGGCGCTCTTTTGGGGAGTAAAAATTCCTTCACAAATGTGTTGATGGCTGGACATTGCATCATCCTAGAAAACTTGGAGGCCAGTGAGGACAAAAATAAAAAGTTATAAGACTTTTAAATATGTGGATTTTAGTGTTATCTTTGGCGCCCCCTAGAACCTAAACCTTGGGGTGCAGCGTCATGATTTTGATAACTTTTAATGGCCACGGGGTGTAGATTGGCCTGAGCAAATGTGGTGCCGGTGGAACGAAAGCCTTCGGAGGAGTTAGCGAAATTCCAATGTGTGCGGATCGGCAAAAAATGCGGAATAACCCTTTAACCGTACATTTGACAGATACAGCCGCACTGACTTTTTTGTAGATCTTATTGAGATACATATGTGTGTCAATTTTTGTGTCAATATGACAAAGCGTACAGGCGTGACAGTCAATAGTGTGAATTTTCACCTTAGGGGGCGCTATGGAGCCATTTTGCATTTTATTGTTTGGGCGACTTCAGAATATCAAATTTTTCACCAGGCCCGGTCGTCCTGCCAAATTTCATGAGTTTTCGCCAGTGGGAAGTGGGCCATTTTCCAGTTCAAAGGGGAGGAAAAAGAAGAAAGAAAGAAAGAAAGAAAGAAACAAAGAAAAACCACTTGGGGAATAATAGGGCCTACGCCCGGCTGCTCTGCAGCTGGCTCGGGCCCTAAAGAAAGAAAGAAAGAAAGAAACAAAGAAAAACCACTTGGGGAATAATAGGGCCTACGCCCGGCTGCTCTGCAGCTGGCTCGGGCCCTAATAACAAAAGAAGGTAACTACAGGAACAAGAGGGCTCTCGCAGCTGCTTAGCAGCTACGCTCGGGCCCTAAAGAAACAAAGACTAGGACCCCGTTGGGGCACTGGCGGGCCCGAGCCGTGTCGCGTCCCCCCCAACGTGCTGCCTCCCCGTCCCATTTGTGTCCTCTGGCCATCGCCCTCTCTGGTAACGCCCATCACTGCAAAGACCCTTTTCCTTCATCGGCGTTTGCTGTTCTTCCTGCCAGTGCGTGTTGCTTTCACTTACACTTGCCACAGCCAGCCTCGTGAGTGCCTAGCCTATTGGATATCACTGTCACCTACACAGAACAGTCATTACCTTTCTATTAATACTTTGTGTTTTAATTTCACATTAATTTCCATATTGTATAGACGACTGGAAAAAACTTGAGCCCCTGCCCCTGTATAATCATGTGCATGTCTCTGTTCTAGCTCCAAGGTGAATCTTCACTGCTCATGTTCTCCTCAGAAGCACTCACCTCACTCCCCTCAGGTTACTGTACACATGCACCAACTGCCTGCTTCAGGTTTGGATGGAGCTTCATGGTTGTCTTTTGGAGAAATGACCAGTCAAGTTGTGTTTGAAATTTGATTTTTTTCAGGGGCAAAAGGAGCCTCTGCATTCTTGTCAAATATGTAAATAGCATGTTTTTGCAGGTGCTAAAAACCAGACTCTGAGTGTGTGTGTGTGTGTGTGTGTGTGTGTGTGTGTGTGTGTGTGTGTGTGTGTGTGCGTGTGTGTGTGTCTGTGTGTGCGTTCAAGTCACATGACATATTTAACCGGATGTAGCTGCAAGACGGAGCCTCGTTGACTCTCCGTTTCAACTTATCTCAAAAGTGAGGACCTCAACCTATATACCAGTTTTTAAATTGTGTTGATAGGCCAAATAAAACCAGAGTTATGATAAATTATGTCCGCGATACTTTTTTTCTGCTTATTTTGATCACGTTCGGCGCTCGATCGCGCTGTATGAGACAGGAAAACATAGCATGCAGACATTAGCGACAGGTCTTACAGGCGGAAAAGGCTTGCCAAAAGAAAAAAAAAACACACCACAACATCTCTCCTATTGGTGGAAAACTTCACCACAACAACCAATCCAAAATTATATGGTGACTGATTGACAAGGGGCGGGCGCTTACGTTCTTCCTGCAACATGAGAAGCGAGGGAGGGACTCTCAGCAGGGATGCAGTCTGGGACACGTAGTTGCAAACCTAGCGACTTTGTTGTTAGATTCAATGACTTTTCAGACCCCCTAACGACTTTTTTTTAGAAAGAAAGGGACTTTTATCGACTTCTTCTGGAGATTAGAGACTCTGACATGAAGCAGGCTTTCCTTACTGAGGAGTTAGCAACGCTGCTAAGGGTGCAGAGCCACACATGCGCTCAGAGCTCTGCATGGGAGACTGAAGCTGACAGAGCTGCAGCAGTTAGCAGGTTTCACCCTCAGAGACCACCAGGGGTTCATGTTGAGGCATTTTAAATTTTTTTTTTTTTTGTGCCATAGACACTGTCAGCACAATCTGCAGTTACACTAACAAAAATGCTGCAAAAAACAAAGAATTATGGAAAAATTACACATGGACTGACATAGAGGAGGATCTACACAAGTTTTTTACATCATGTTTTACATCATGCATCATTTACATCATGTTTTTTTGTAGTGGCATAAATAAAAAGTGACATTTGTGAGACTATACAGTGTTTTGTAAATAATTTTACAAAGAACGCCTGGGCCATTGCCTGCATTTTGATGTAAATAGAGGTAAATTACTATGTTCTTTGTTAAAAATTTGCATATGTTTTGAAGTTTACAATTTTTATTTGAAGTTTAAGTTTTAAAAACAGTTCATCACACATATTTGTGGTTTTCACAGTAAAAATGTTACTTTTTTCCACTCGGATTTTATGTTTTGTGTGTGAATTTGGGTCCATTGTGTAAATTCAGTATGTCAACATGATAAAATAACTGTAAATTCGCACAGGTGAGGTTGGGCTGAAAAAAATGATACCAGGCAAGGCACGTGATTGTCAAATTTTGTGTCAATATGACAAAGCGTATAGGCGTGAATCTCAACAATATGTATTTTCACCTTAGGGGACAAGAAAAAATGGACTTTTTTCTCCTGCCATGGGGGGGCGCTCTTTTGGGGAGTAAAAATTCCTTCACAAATGTGTTGATGGCTGGACATTGCATCATCCTAGAAAACTTGGAGGCCAGTGAGGACAAAAATAAAAAGTTATAAGACTTTTAAATATGTGGATTTTAGGGTTATCTTTGGCGCCCCCTAGAACCTAAACCGTGGGGTGCAGCGTCATGATTTGAATAACTTTTAATGGCCATGGGGTGTAGATTGGCCTGAGCAAATGTGGTGCCGGTGGAACGAAAGCCTTAGGAGGAGTTAGCCACATTCCAATGTGTGCGGATCGGCAAAAAATGCGGAATAACCCTTTAACCGTACATTTGACAGATACGCACGCATTGACTTTTTCGTAGATCTTATTGAGTTACATGTGTGTGTCAATTTTTGTGTAATTTTGACAAAGCGTATAGGCGTGACACTCAACAATGTGTATTTTCACCTTAGGGGACAAGAAAAAATGGACTTTTTTCTCCTGCCATGGGGGGGCGCTCTTTTGGTGAGTAAAAATTCCTTCACAAATGTGTTGATGGCTGGACATTGCATCATCCTAGAAAACTTGGAGGCCAGTGAGGACAAAAATAAAAAGTTATAAGACTTTTAAATATGTGGATTTTAGTGTTATCTTTGGCGCCCCCTAGAACCTAAACCTTGGGGTGCAGCGTCATGATTTTGATAACTTTTAATGGCCA